AGGACAGCCGGAGATTTAGCGGGAATCGATTACACTGGGTCCCAGGAATAATATACGGGACTGTTGGATCCTCGTTGAAGGGCTGTAATCAGCCCCATGAGTTTGTGTGTATGCATTGCCGGTCCAAACGCGTGAGATGAAGGAGAGAGAGGAGTCTTGATTGCCGAGGCATCCAATTGCCGTGTCTATATCAGCGACTCTTATTTACACCAGTGGATATCAGTGTTTGTTACGTTTGAATGCTCAACAAACGTTTATCACAGTGAACAATCGTGAAGGCTGTATTTCATTCGAGAACTTTCGTGTCACTGGATCAGCAGTTTTGAAATTCTTCGGTTGGGATATTTACATTCTTCATTTTACTACTGGTGGAAAATTACTCTTAGTTTTTATTAAGAAATTGAGAAATTTTTAACGACCTGTGTAGATGAAATTTCCGGTATTTTCCTTGGAAAGTTTTAGTAAATGGCAATTCCACGGAAGTTCAGATGAATTAAGTTATTGAAATGTAACAATCCGATGAAAAAGTCAGTGGGAAGTGTAAATTACAGATTAATTATTTTATGAAAAGGAGTGTCAGTTGTTTCTGTTCATTCTGTTGATTCCGATTTGACATTTCTCTGTGTATTTCATCTTCGCCTGATTTAATGGATAAACTGAAATATAGTGTTGAATTTTCAATTATATTCAGTATTAAATTTTCAATTATTAAATTCATGATTTTATTGAAAATTCAAATAGTTTGAGGAATTCTCATTTCAATGTCGTTCTACAATGTGAAATTTCGTTGAATTTTTCGTGAAATTTGCCTTCTTAAATTCCATTCAATGTCACTCGCCTAAAAATTACAAGTCCCACTGTCCCCGAAATCAGCCACTGGCAGAATCATATATTTTAAATAAAGTTAAATTTTGAAGAATTCAATAGTACTCATCAATTTTAAATTATTAAATTAATCACCAATTGAATATCCAAATTTCGAATTGTATCAATCAATAATTGAGTTCAGAGGATTGACGATTATTTGGCTAATCGAATATCCCTTTTAGGAAATTTATAAATACTTTCGCAATTCTCAATTTACAATTCCACATTCCTAATTATTTAGTTCATAGTCAGTTGAAAAATGTTAATTATCAGTTATTTTATAATTTCGAAATTTCAAAATTCCTCTAACAACGTACTTTTAATCAAGAAATAATTTTTTTCCGTAACGCGTGTGATAATAAAAAGTTCCTCCATTCACGTGCAACAACCCAAGAGATGTACAGTTGTTGTGACCCAGCGTGTGCGTTGATGCCCGTGAAAAACACCAAGGAAGGCAAACTCATCCAATACATTAGATCTAGACAATTGAGACAGGCCAGCCACGTCTGAGGAATGAGAAAATCGTGAGGAAACGTCAGCAAGTGACTTTCCAACTCTCCTTGAGGCATTGCCGCATAGCTCTCCACAAAAACCTCATAAAACAGGCTGTACCAAACATCAAGATATTGGTTTATGATCGCATTAATTCGACATCACATCAAAAACAGATATTCTGATTTACAATTCATTACACATTACATTTCATACCTCTTATTGTCTGCATTATCGTTTGTTTTGCAGATTCAGAGCAATGAAAATTGTAGTTTCTTCACGTTTATCGAGTAAACAGACAGAGCGTGTCGATGCTGCATAAAAAAAAATCACCAGTTGAACAGAGCCTCTACTCGGCTGCATCAAGATGAATATATACTCTTGTTTTCGTCACGGACATCGAAGAGTCGCATAAATCAGCGCCAACCTCTCCGCCTCTCCTCTCCCCTCCCCCCCTAACCATAACGATCATATTGAGATCTTCACCGAGCGTAAAATCATCTCAGCAAAGCCCGAGAAATCGGGAGAGCAGAAAATCCGATCCAATCCAAACGAAATTCGATCAGAATTCAATGGCGCTAAAGTTCCTAACGCCATTGGTAGCTCTGGCATTTGGCTCTCGTCAAGTTTTCCACGCTCGAATCGTTCCGTAAATTGTGCCGGCACAGCGGTTACGCCCGAGCAGTGGTCAGACTTCACTTCTGGAGCATCAAAACATCACTCAAAGAATCACAGGGGAAAACAAACGACACGTATCTGCGGATACAGCTTTATTTGTCGACGATTCTTACAATCGTACAATGTCGAGTGGATCGTAAAATGTGGCACGCCCTATTGAGGTCTCGTGTACAACAGCTACTGCACTAATTTCACAAAGGAGGGCGGATGCAATGTTATGGCTGAACGAATTCTTGCTCTTCCCCTCCACTTGTTCATCGCTGGCACCAAAAAGCAATATCACGGAATGAAGACTAATCACAGCAATTAGCGCGGGCGTGAATTAGTGAGAAAATATTATTACCTCTTACGTAGAGAGAGAGAGAGAGAGAGGGAGAGAGATAGCCGTACTCTCTCACTCGAGCCCACCTTCTTCATTGTTGAATCATTGCACAATACTGCTTTATCATTTTCATTCGTCACGATTTCTCAGACTATCCGACAATTTACTTAAAACATTGAATGAGAAAGAAAAATGAGTGACGGTAATACGTAAGAATTCCTAGCCACTGGGCTCTGTTGTCTGAATATTGAGGCAGACAGAACGATTGATTTCTATCAATTAAGGGGTCGAAATTGCTCACGACTTCTTGAAACTGATGATGCACAGTTGTTTTATCGCTGGAGGCTGTATTTTTCGTTGAGTCCCGGTATCTGTTGCGGTGAAGTACCGGTCTGTGAACAAAAAATTCAGCCACTACTGTACAGAATTCTCTAATTAATACGTAAGAACGTCGAAATGGAGAGATTTATAGGCTCGCGTGAGATTATTATTTTTTTGTTTCACTCGTCCTGAGTATTCTTGGCTCTCCTTTTCTCCGGGGCTTTTTTTTTCTCTCCTCCGCTCGTGAAAATTGCGAGAGATAAATGGTCGCTTGTTTGGAGGGAGATAAGGTGGGCAAAAGAGCTGATACTGAGTACAAATTCCTCGTAGGGAATCTCGGTTGCATCGAGTCTCGGCGATAACAGGTTGGGGGAAAAAAAGAGTTGGAGGGAGAGAGAAAACTGTTTTAACATTATTCGTCTTTTTCCACTAGTTCTCGAGGTATACACGATAAGTTCAGGGTAGACATGTACACATGGCGATTGGCCGTAGAGAATTCTCGGTGGTTTCACGCTGAAAACAGCAAATGAGAACGCACACAGGTTCTAGCCTTGGGTAGAGCCTCTCGTATCACTCGTTGTATTTGTGTCTGGAGACATGGGGCAACAGGACAAACACAACATTGTCAATCATTGACCTCGCAGTTCATTGATTAATGTATTCTTCTTATTTGAAGATCGTTATTGGTCGTTTATGTAAATTTGAGAAAGGAAAATTATTGTTTAGTCGGTGCTTACGTCTGACATCAAGAGTATAATTATTTTTTAAATATTTTTTTCATCACTCGTGTGTTGAGTAAAATTTTGCGATAAAAATAGGGCTCGACATTCGTGGAAACTGTGTTTGAAGTTCTTTGGCCTTTGGGAGGGTGGCGCTATGCACCTTCCACGGATCAAAAAAAAATTCTTCGCACTCGTATCGAAATGCATTATTTGTTGACACAGAAATTTTTGGCTCAATTTTGGGTGGAATTTTTTATTTTCAAATTTTAATTAATTTCATAATTGAAATTTCACTATTCGATGAAAAAATCAACGAAAATTGTCAATTTCAGTTAAATTATTCCTTGGAAATCAATAGAACCTCGCGTATCATTCGTCGTATTTGTCTCTGTAGACATGGGGCAACAGGAAAAACACAACATTGTCAATCATTCACCTTGCTGTTCATTAATTAATGCATTCTCCTTCCTTGACGCTCGTTATTAGCCGGTAATGCAAATTTTCGAAAGGAAAATTATGCGATCAGTGCTCACCTCTGAAAGCAAGAGTATAATTTGTCTTAATATGTTTTTGTTTAACGCTGTCAGAAATTTTTGGATGAAATTTTCGGTACCTTCAGAATTTTTTATTTTAACATTTCAATGAATTCCGTAATTGAAATTTTACTATTCGATGAAAAATCAATGAAAATTGTAAATTTTAATTAAATCATTTCATGAAAATCAATAGAACCTCGCGTATCATTCGTCGTATTTGTCTCTGTAGGCATGGGGCAACAGGAAAAACACAACATTGTCAATCATTCACCTTGCTGTTCATTAATTAATGCATTCTCCTTCCTTGACGCTCGTTATTAGCCGGTCATGCAAATTTTCGAAAGGAAAATTATGCGATCAGTGCTCGCCTCTGAAAGTAAGAGTATAATTTTTCTTAAAATGTTTTTGTTTAACACTGTTAGAGATTTTCGGATGAAATTTTCGGTACCTTCGGAATTTTTTATTTTAACATTTCAATGAATTCCGTAATTGATATTTTACTATTCGATGAAAAAATCAATGAAAATTGTAAATTTTAATTAAATCATTTCATGAAAATCAATAGAACCTCCCGTATCATTCGTCGTATTTGTCTCTGTAGACATGGGGCAACAGGAAAAACACAACATTGTCAATCATTGACCTCGCAGTCCATTAATTAATGCATTCTCCTTCTTTGAAGATCGTTATTACCAGGTCATGCAAATTTTCGAAAGGAAAATTATAATGTAGTCGGTGTTTACCTCTGAAATCAAGAGTATAATTATGAAAATCAGTCTACAAGCTTGCATTCTTCATGTCATGCTGTGTCCGGGATAAAGTGGCTGGAATTAGTGCCACTCACCCGAGCCATTAATTCAATCTCTCAATTCGTATCAAGAATTCGAGAAGTGTCATCGCTATAGATCTAATATTTAAACATTTTCTCGTACTAGAAAAGTGGAGAAAAGAAAGCAACGAAAGGTGAAAAATGAGGCCACGACCCTTCCATTTCCCTTTCTCTTCGACTCCCTTTTATGAATTTTTTGTTCCCTCATTGAGATTTCCTGTTTATCTTTGCAGAGGCAGAGTGTAGGATGGGCTCTTCAGTGCGAGGAATCACCCTACAGTGAAGAGGAGGTTCTTCGAGTGGTGGCGAGGAGAGTACGAGGATGCCATCCTCGCAGGCTGCCGCGACTGAGCGGCGAAACGATCGAATGGTAAATAAAAACTTTGGTTCATTTTTTTCCATTTTTCTCATTTACTTTCTTTTTCTTTTATTCATTGATACGTTCTTCCCCTACAAAAGAGAAAAACAAAAAGTTTTGCAAATATAAAATATGTAAAAACAGTTTCTCAAAAAAACTACAATTCATTTTCTAACTTCTTCAGCGAGAAGATAAAAATTATTGATGAATTGAGAGAAAAAAAGTGTAGTCTGAGGTATCGTAGCAATAGATGTGGAAAGGCAAGTGAAAATCGAAGAAACTTGACGTATAATTTTTGGATTGAACAGGTTTCATGCCTGTCCATTTGTCAAATGCATGAAATTCAGAAAATTCTTGATGAATGGAAATCAAAACACCTCGTAAAAATCCAATACATCAAGTTTTCAAGGTGGGAATGAGAAAGTATCGAAAGATACTCGATCAAAATTAAATGTACAAGAGAGAAATCGTAGAGAAATTCCATAAAAGTCATTGATAAATCCGTAACATTTACCAATAAAAAAAAATTCTCCGCACTGTTGAAAAAAATTGAAATTTCATTGGTTAATTGTTGGTAATGTCTATGAAACCGACATTATATGCGACTCAGGGGACAAAAAATCATGCAAATCCAGTGGAATTTTAAATTCTTGAGCAGCAAAAAGACGGGAATTCCCCAGTTCATTTGAATTTCCAATCAAAACATGGATATTCATCATAAAATTGCGTTGAATTTTCAATTAATTAGAAACTCAGGAATAATTTGACTCGCTGTTTTCTCATTTCTGTCAATTCTCATACCATAATTGAACTAAAATTGAAAATTTCCATTGATTTAGTCCTCAAATTATGAATTTTGAATGACCAAATTCCCAGAAATTTCCACGTAACTATCGCTCGATAAAAATTGCCGACCAAAAATGATTGTTAGTGTACTCAAATAATAAAAATAACTCCAAAATAACGACATTATTCTCACCAGATGGCCCACGAACCACCAAAGCTGAAGACAACACTGAAAACCCCCCCAAAACAAGCAACGAATCCTCTCCAATTCGTTAAAGTCGGTCCATGCTCCCTGTACCGAACAGCCCAGGAGCAGTTACAAAAGGTCCAAGAAGTAAAGAAAGTAAAACAAGAGGTGCGCGATGACCCGGAAGACTGGCAATCGGTGAGTAAAATTCCCAAACAATCTCGAATTCCCCAGCGATCATCTCCCCCATCCTCCACAGCTTCCTTATTTGATCACTCACCACCGATATTTGTTTTCTCTTCCAACCCAAGAACTTGGACAATTGGAAGAGTAGCAGGAGGAAGCGCCAAGAGCACATAATCGAGCGAGTTGTTGAGGTCAAGAAGCTTGAGCTCGAGGAACACGACAGACAGAGAAGACGAAGTAAAACATTCTCCGAGATGATGGAGGAGCGCGGCAGTAGAGGACGAAAGCTCAGCATGAGTCTCGCAATGTACCACGAGGAGGATTCAAATGACTTGAGTGATCTTGGTATTGGTACAAGCAGTGGAAAGAGCTCTGTCAGCGGTGATACCCACGACGACACACAGAGTGTTCTTGTGAGTCAACAATTCATTAGCATATTCAAATTCAATGGACTCGTTTTCAATGGCTATGCTAATTCGATAATACATACATGTGTCCCTTGTTTTATTATGTTGCAGAGCGATCGAGACAGTGAGATCGATAAGAATCACTCCGATTTGGATAATGTTACCAATGAAAATGGTAATGGTGGTACAGACAATAACAATGTTAGAGCCATTACAAACACTGGCAGTGTCACTGATGCACCGAGAAAGAAAACATTTGGCAATGGATTCATCGCTGATGATCACAGAGAGTACGACTCTGGTACAACAGCTACTGTCAGCTCACCAGAGCCCGAGGAGTACACGTACGAGGGTGCTATACGGGGCTATGTGTCCAGAGTTGCCCAGAATATACCGCGAAGATCTCTGATCGATCTGGAAGTCAAGTTGGACAGTGTCAAGACGAGTCTCTACGAGGGTAAAGGCTCCACAGATGAAGCCAACTTCCCAGTGGTGAAGGTTGACATATTGAAGCGAAGAGAAATCTTTGAGAAGGCCTCGCAAATCAACAATGACAATAAAATCAACAATAACCGATCATCCGGCGACTTCTCCAGCACCAAATCGATCAAGGAGAGACTCTCCAATCTCGATAAACAGATGCACGAGGCGGAGCAAGTAGATAAGAATACAAAGTCCTTGAACAGGCTGTCGGGTGACATGAGTTCAATTCGTGAGCGTCTTTCTCACTTGGAGAAACAGGCGACTGAACGTGAGAGTAAAATATCTCGAAAGCCGAGTATCGATGAGTTGGAGCCGGTGAGGCCTCTTAGAGAGAGGCTTTCTACACTTGAGAAGTATGCAAGCAGTGACGAGTCATGCTCACCGAGGGCTACGAGTGTCAGGCAAAATGGGAGGAGCAAGGAGGGTGAGAAGAAACCGGTGGACAAGCAGATTCTACGGTTTAATAATGATAATTCAACGCCGAGTGAACGGAGCTCATCGCCGGATTCTGAGTATAGGGCACCTCGTGCTGCTTTTCACAGGAGTCTTGATTCACTGGATGCCGATGCCTCCAGTGGGCCAGACACCTTTGAGAGGGTGCAGAGTCTTGAGGAATTGGATTACACTCAGAGATATCCGGCTTCTGCTTCATCTGCGGAATTGCTGAATGATACGGATAGAGAGGACTCGGGGATTCACACGGCTGATGTCTCCTGTTCGGTTAGTCAGGCTGATGAACCTGTCGATGAGGAGATTGTGCAGCAACAACAGGTGGGGGTTGTTGAGGTGCAGAAGGGGCCGTCGAGTGTTGATAAGGCGGATCGCGGGGAGGAGGCGACTGAGGCTGCTGGCGGTGAGAAGGAAGAGGAGGTTTTGGAGGAGAAAGGGTTTCAGGAGGTCGGCAGCCAACATTCGGCGGTGATAACTGAGGTAAGTGGTGGTGGACATATTTGCATTTGGTTTTTAGGGGTGGGTGGAGGGTCGGAAGTTCGTTTTGCTGGTTTGTCAGGGAAAGTGGATTGAAGAATGTCGAAGGACTTTGGGGGAGGGCGGATTGTTGGAGGTTTATTGAAGGTTCATGAATAGGTGAGCGGTAATTTTCAGAAGAGTGACATTACGTTCAGTTTAGAGGGAAAGATCATGACATTTGCTATTTGAAAATTTAATGAAATTTGAAATTTTTGAGGAGCAGAAAAACTGTTGAATTTCTGGGCTCGCTTGAATTCTTAATGAAAAGGTGAATATTCATTTTTCAATATTTCGGTGAGTAGCAAGTTTTAGGGGTGTTACATTAAATTGGATTGAAGGGGTAAAGATAATGAAATTTATGGTTTTACTGAAATTTCACAGTTTTGAGCAGCAGAAAAACTAAAATGCTCTTACTTCCAGTGCCTAATTAGGCGGAATTCTCGATTTATTGAAAATTTGGGAATATATTCACCTGGATTATCATGATTTCTATTTACTTTGATGGAATAATTGAACTGAAATCTACAGTTTTAGCCTTACTATTAGAAAAATATTGAAATTTCATGACTAGTTGGTGAGTAATTTTTAGAAGAGTGGCATTATATTCGACCCAGAGGAAAAGATAGTGAAATTTCAGACTGCACTAAAAATTTACTGAAATTTCACATTTTTGAGCAGCAGAATAACTAAAATTCCCAGACTTACCTCAATTTTCCATGAAAACATGAATATTCGTTATTCAATATTTCAGAATTTAACTCATTTGTCAACCACAGTATACCCATGAATTTTATTTAAAGAAATCCTTGTAAAAAAATTTAAGACCTCTCACCTGAAATTTCAGGGGTTTCAGGAATTACCTGACAGGGTATTATGACATTAAAAAAGACCTCCAACATTTTTCAATGTATTTACTACCCGAAAATTCATGCAAAGAGTTAAAAAAAGATGTATCGAAACACAAAGACTCTTCCTGTGGAAAATGTCAGAAATTTCATGAGTTCCAAAAAATCCTCCAAAATTCTTCAATACATCTATTCATTTTCATAATATTCCGAGCGAACTTTCGGACACATCTGACTGCAAAGTGGTAAAGGCTAAAGTAAAATACCTGTAGTAAACTTCATTTCCTTTCCCGGTTGTGGGTTATCATAGGTGTAAAGCATTGGTCTTTGGTATTTTCTGATTAATCCAGGGTACCGCTGCAGCTGGAACACTGCCGATTAACAAAAAACGATTTTTCCCGGACTCTTCAGTCCCAACGACAAGCATCTGTACAAGTAGTAAATTATCATCTGGTCGAACGATTGTTTACCAAAGTCCCCGAATTCCCCCGCGTAGAAGTCCGCCAGAGATAAAACTCGATCTATCGAGCTTAAATGCTTCTGAGGAAATAGCTTCACCTCTCGGTGATGCTGACACAGAGTCAAAAAGTACATCTAGTCCTCAAAAAATTCAGGAGATCAAAGATCTAGCTTCCCCCGTTAATAAACCATCGAAAATTCCCACCCCACTTCCACGCAAATCAGTCAGTGTGAAAATCAACTCAGGGACATCATCACCAAGCACACCTCCATCATCGCCAGCTAAAGTTATTCCCCAGCCAAAATTGTGCTTCAAATCATCAAAAATTCCGTCGCCTTTGAAATGCCAACAGGACGAGTGCAATCAGCCTGATGCGAATCAAGACAAGAATGTCGAACGAAGACGTACGGTTGTAGAAATATGCGAAAAAATTGTTGTGCCTCAGGGTGAAACACCCCCACTACCAGTCACCCCCTTCATCATGGTCAACGAGGTTAGGAGCAACGATCAGCAATTTAATATTGCACCACGAAAATGCTGAGCCAGATCTCTATCTATCTGCTAATACTCCTATTCGAATTCATTGCTAGAACTCTTGTAAATATTTGAGCTGGGAGGTCCATTCATTTGACGGCTAGGATTGAATTCGTTCGTTCAGTAGGGGAGTGAGGGAATATTTTATTAATTGCGAATACGCATTTCGGAACGTTCGAAGACGTGCCCTAAACAATTCACGAAATTTTGAATTTCACTGCAAATTCAATGAAATTTCAATTTTTAAGGAGTAGGAAGTCAAGAATTCGGAATATTCAGGACTAAATTACACAGAATTTTCAATTACTTCGGAATTTAAGAACATGTTTACCTGATTTATTTTCATTTCAATGAAATAACTGAACTGAAATTTGTAATTTCAGTCAAATTACATCTCCTTATTCTAAAATAATAACATAAGTCCGTCGAAATTGGAGTTTTGAGATGTCTCCTCGGATAATTTTCTATAAAAACACGTCTCTTGACACTTTCCATCACTTCCGTGCTGAATCAACTAAAAACTGTCATTTGATACACCTGCGATCATAATAATAGCCAGCAGTGTAAATAGAAACATATGGGCATAACAAATAACGGACATCTAATCAACCAAAAATCACACAACGCTAGATACTCCACAAAGTTCATTGTGATAAATGGAGTGTGACTGTCCTTGATAAAAAAAAATACATGTATTATTTATTTATTGGATGATTTAGGAGCGATTGTAACGGTTTCTCTGTAAGGTGAAATCATCTTAGTTCCAGTGGATTGTCATTCAGTGATTGTAGGCACTGAGGAACGAATACATTAAATGAAATATATGGAAACATACTTGGAAAACGATTTCTCGTGTTTCTCATTGTCATTCTATTATCAATATTTTTTTAACATACAACTCGGAATGTCAATATTTACCAACGAGTTATTTTATCTGACGTTCCGTGCGGGTGATAATTGATCTGAACCTTGAAAATTCCCCAAAAAAGTGTTAAATTGACAGAACTGAATTGTCTCCTAAGTCACTGATAAGTTATTTCCCGATCTAATTGGAAATATCAATATGTAAGAGGGTGTGCCTTTTTCAGACAATGATTTCCCCTTTTTATTCTCTTATCTTTCGACTTTTATCTGAGACGATAGCTTCCCCCCTCCGACGACATTCGCCGCAGTATCTGTCGAGTTTTTTCTGAATCATTCGCAGGCCAACTGCACGGAGAGAAATTTTCTCGAAAAATTCTAGTACGAGTATTGGAAAAAATTACAATTCACCGGCTGTGAAAAATTCTAGTGCTGTTAAGGTAAAATTTCTTGGCATTTCTGGTAAAATTTCTGGCGATTTCTGTCAAATTTTCACAGAAATGCGGGGAAAAATTCACCTTTTCTCCAATACAATTTCTAGTTCCGCCACTAGAATTTTTTCCTGGCCGTCACTTTGCGCCTCTTTTCCCGTGCTAGCACTAGAATTTTTCTACAAAATTTCTCTCCGTATGGTGATTAGGGTCAAAATTAAATTGAATTGTAGATAATTATCGTCAATGATCGTCCAGAAAATCGCTTACGTAAATAGAACTAGCGTAAATGGAAGGAATAGTAAGAGGACGGACTGTCAATTGAGCGTTGACGACATGAGGAATATTCGAAAACATAATCGAGGAGGTAAGAGATGCTGGTAACAATTAGAAAGAGTAGAATTGCGCATCCACCTGCCATGATGCAACGAAAGTTTGTGGTATTATTTGAAAACTTGGTTGCATCATGAAAAAACCGAGTGATTATTATCAACTAAACCACAACAGATGTTGGCTATCACCTGAGAGACAAAGCCATAGACAGTTTCCGGCAGTGAAAATCGATTAGGCCACGTCACATCGCTCTATTCGTACCACTAGTCTGTGTGTTTGAGCATGAAAAATTTTAGTTTCGTGTGTGTTCTGCTTATCTCTTATCTCCCTTGTTACGCAGATCAAATTGCTTCGCCAAACTCACGACACATGCTTCATTTTGCTTTTAGGTTCAAAATCCCTATCGCCCCTTCAATTTAATCAAAGTGAAATATCCAAAGTGGTTTTGAAGGATGTTGAGGAAAATGAAAACAACAGTTATATTTCTAATTGTTATTTGGGCTTCGTCAGCCTCATGACTCGATTAATGTTCAATCTAGTTGGTAATTAAACCAATTATGATCCTCAGAGATCGTCATTAATTGAGTTATCAGCCAGACGATGCTGAAATGATCTGCGAAACGTCGCAAAATGACAATTACATAAATGTTGTTTTAATGCTCTTCAGCATCTCTCGAAATTTTTGGTTATTTAACAATAATAAAAATGGATCGGACGGAGAAAAAAATTCAGGAAAAATTACCTGACAAGACGTACAATTTTTACGTGAAAGCACAGAAAAAATTCCGAGTGAAAAATGAATTTTCCCTCAATACATGTTTCATTTTGCTTTTAAGTTCAAAGTCAAATTGAAATATCCAGTGATTTCACAAGATGTTGAAGAAAATGAAAACAACACTTATATTTCTGCTTGTTATTTTGCGACGATGTGCCAACTATTTTAGCTTCGTCAGGCTCATGACTCGATTAATGTTCAATCTAGTTGATAATATAGCCAATTATGATCCTCAGAGATTACCATTAATTAAGTTATCAGCCGGATGATGCTGAAATAACCACCGAAACGTCGCAAAATGACAATTACATAAATGTTGTTTTAATGCTCTTCAGCATCTTTCGAAATTTTTGCATATTTAACAATAATAGAGATGAACCACATGGAGAAAAAAATTCAGGAAAAATGACATCATCATCAAATGACTCATCTCGTCTATTGCTCGGCTCCGCGTGTCCCTAAAAATATTACTCCACTCGTATCAACATTCCCCCTATTCACACTTGTAACGCAATACAGTATTTCCCTCTCTCTCCCGGAAATTTTATGGATCAAAGCGTATTTTTTACGTGGCGCTCCACAAAAATTCTCGCGGAGAACAGTAATATCTTCCAAGCAGCAGCGATGCCTCGCGCTTACATGAAACACCGTAATCTTTACGCGATCTCAGACAACTTTTTCTCCGCCCAGAACATTATGAAATTGAAATAATGCCACTGAATAAAAAAAGCGTATCCTCAATTCATTGATTCTTGCATGATCCATTGCACGCCACAGCTTCTAAAACCTCCCCATTTACCCTTCACCTATTCCAAAATATTCCACAAATTCAAAGCCATGAAATTGCTCAATAAATCAGCGATGAATGGAATAGCAAAATGCTGATAAGAATCTCCTAGACCCGGTGGAATCCGATCGATTCACTCTCGAGATGAGGGAGAGAAGTGCATCCCGCATTGTTTACCCCTCTCCACCTTTCCAATTTGCATAGAATGTAGCGTTGCGAAATTTGTAGTGTGCAAAATTCATAAGAAAAAAAAAGGAGGATAAAAATTCACCACCAATAATTCCGTCTCTGTTCACCTCCACCTCTGGCAGGAATCGATCGTTATCGGTAGTAGCAGCGTAGACGAGGAAATCGTAGTGCCGCGAGCCGAGTCAACAACGCCAGTCGAGCACGAAGAGGAGGTGGTTTGTACGAGCGAGTCCATGGTAGAGGTATCTGTCGAGTCCCCTGTCACTACCAGAACAAACGTCGAACAGGAGACAGAGATCCAGATTGAGTCTGATACCGAGCAAGTTGTAATGTCAATAGTCTCATTGTCGTGTGACACTGAAACCGATCACTTGGCATTTGAGGAAGTCACTGTTGCACCGGCAAACACCATGGAATTCATCGGAACATTGTCACCCACCAGCAAACAGGTGAGTGAAAAGACCCGACTCTATCAATTATCAGTCATACTTATTTGTTTATAACAGGACGCATGAAAATATGCACGCATGACGTTGACAAATTGACCAATTATTCTTATCTGTCTGACGCAAGATAGCGCGTGAATTCATTGTGTCTTCTAGACATTCGCCTTGCAAATTACTAGAACGGTGGCTGCTTTATGTTTCAATTATCGTTGATATTTTGTTTTTGTTACTGAAATGACGTTTGTAGATTCCACAGTTGAATCTTGAGAATGACGAGGAAATTGTTGCTGGTCTGACTTTCCCCCTTGGGCCACCGAGCAGCGGTGAACCGCCGAAGGAGAAACCGCCTCCACCTCCGACAGATTTCAGTGATGAGGAAAATCAACCGATTGAGCCACTCAAGAGGTTGAATTCCACGAGGAGAATTAAGAAGGAATTGAGGACGAGGCGCTCCGATTTCTTGGGGATTGAAGGGGTAAATACATTCTTTTTTAAGGTTGATGAATTTTTTCAAAATTATATACGGAAGGAGGGAATAATGATCTACTTGTTAGTGGAGATGAATTTATTTGAAGGTATTCATTCTTTTATTTGGATATTTCCAAATCGAAAGAATAAGGGGACTATTGGAATCGTTGATTTTGTAGTAAAATCAATTTTTCAAACATTCTCTTGTTGGAAATTCAATGAAACTCCACATTTTTTAGCAGAGCAAGACAAAAATGTTCCCAACTTGATATTTAAATCTATTCAAAATTCAAGAATATATTCACCTGAATTTTCCTGATTTATATTAATTTTCATGAATAATTCAACTAAAATTTACAGTTCCTATTGATGTTCCCATGAAATTTTGAATGTTCAATGACGAAATTCCTTGAAATTTCCGTAGAACTATAACGCGATATTAATTTACAAATTTACAGGAAATTTCCGCCAAAAATTTTTAACAGTTCATCAAAAACTAGCCTTTCCAATTGTTTCAGATTTTTAAATTCTTTCCAAAATTTAAAAATGCAGAAATAATTTCGTAATTTCAACGTTTGAATAATAAAATCTTCGTGAAATGATGAAAAGAACTACATATTTAATTAATGTTTAAAATAATGTCAACAAAAAAATGAAAAAAATAGAAACAATAGAATTTTTCATTCAAATAGATCAACGACGACGACTTGGAGTTGAGCCTAGCCCGGCCCCCAGACATGGCAGCGATTCTCGCGGAGGAGAGGCGCATAGAACAGCTGCATCGTCGCTCATACGACACTGACAGCAACTACGAACAAGACTCGAGCCACGAGAGGGACTCGGGGGTTGAGCTTGGTCACGCTGATGACTGGGTAAAACAACCAGTCAGCCCCGACATGTCCCAGCACAGTCGTCAGAGTAGCGAGCCCTTCGGTGCCAGTGTCACATCATCCGAAGAGGACGAAATCACCAAGAAAGAGCGTGAGATTATCGAAGTCCTCGAGAAGGAGGAACAGTGGCGTTACGGCAGTGACCGCGAACAAAACAGGTAGAGAATACAAACTTCCTCGTTGGACTTCCACATTTCTCCAATTTCAGTCTTAATATTTCAATTTTTCGGTGTAATATACTTCTCGCGAATTGTCAGTTGAGTATTGGTTGTTGGGTGCTCTGCATAGATTGTTATAGTTGCCTAGTGAATTAAACAAATTTTTGTAGCATTTTAAGGGTAATAAACTGTTTTTTTTCTCGTTAGAATCGATTTTTTGACTCTTCAAATTTCTACCACTTTATTTATATCTACTGAAATAATTACACTGATAGAAAATTTTAAGTGAAAATGCTTGGAATATTCAACAATTCATTTTGGTAATGAAACAATAATGAAACATCAGTTAATCTCTGGGATAATTCAATGAAAATTCGTACCTTTTCCTGATGTGATGACGAAAATACATAGACATTTTTGAAATTGTCATATTCATTAAACTTCAAAGAGAAACCATCGAATCATTTCATCATAAATCCGAAATAAAATCCCCAACGTTGAAAATTTCCAAATACTGCATAGTGTTTTTTTCTCATAGAATCGATTTTTTGACTCTTCAAATTTCCACCACTTTATTTATATCTATTGAAATAATTACACTGATAGAAAATTTTAAGTGAAAATGCTTGGAATATTCAACAATTCATTTTGGTAATGAAACAGTAATAAAACATCAGTTAATCTCTGGGAAAAATCAATGAAAATTCGCACCTTTTCCTGATGTGATGACAAGAATACATGAACATTTTTGAAATTTTCATATTCATCAAACTTGAAAGAGAAATCATCGAATCATCATAAATCCGATACAAAATCCCCAACGTTGGAAATTGCCAAATACCTGTCAATAAAAATCCAATAAATTTCTACCGGCCGTACTATTTCTCAAGAGGATCAATTTATTTGATTTCAAAGTTTCTTACCACACATGATTCATATCTATTGCAATAGTAACACTAATCGAAAATTTCGCCTAAATTCTTGAAAAAATATGCATGAAAAAATCCGGAATAATAAAACCAAAATAAAACTAACAACGTTAAAAAAATTGACAAAAACCAGTCACCAAAAACCACAAAATTTCTACCAGTGTAAGTACCTCTTCACCTTCAACCTCTAAAAATTCTCAAAAAGCTACAAAGTAGACCCTAAATCCGAGGGATGAACGAAAACATGTGAAAGTATTTTGGAACACAGCGACATCGGTGAGAAGCTCGCTGACAAGCTTCGTGAACTGGAGGAGGAGAAGATGCAGTTGGAGCGTGAGCGCCAAGAGGAGACATTGCGTAAGAATGATGAGAATGCACGCAAACAGGAGGAAGAGAAAATCCGTAAACAGCAGCAACAGCAGCAGGAAGCAGACGAGAAAACCCACCGTGAGGAGGAGTTGAGAATAAAAACGGAGCAGTTGCGACTGCACGAGGAAATGCTGGAGAACGAGAGAAGAACAGCGGCGGAAGTGCGTAGACAGGAAGAAATGCGACTGAGATCCACGGAGGATCAAATTCGAGACCAGGAAGTACGTATTCAGAAATATCATCATTGCATTAGCATTACCTCATTCCCCTGATGAACGACAATTATTCAACGCTTTTTTCCTGCATTATTTTCCAGAAAACAGTGCTGACAGCAGTGCAGTACACCCATGACGATGAATATCCATCCGGGGAGGTACTAAGAGTGGAGAGGGAACTGCTGCAGCTCGAGCAGGAGGAGTTGAAACGTCAGAGAAGCAACATGGCGTATCGCGAGCAGAAGCAGCAGCAATTGGCTGAGCAACTGCAGGAGCAGTGGCAGTCCCTGCAGGACGTCAACCATGGAAGTGCAACGAATCCCCACCCGACGTATCAAAACATCAATGCCCTGAATTATCGCTCGTCAATGCCAAATCTCCAGCTTCAGGAGGGCCTGAAACGGCGACCACCACCACCTCCAATACCCCCGGCTAAACCCCTTCGGGTGTTGGATCAGCGACAGCGCGATGCAACCATAAGGTAAATACACGTGGAGTGAATTTTAAATGGTGTTAAAAGTGGGAATTGGGGATATTCAAGTGGTTTGCCCACTTTTTCGTTGAAATTCGTTTAGATATTTGCAGTGTTCAAGCACTACTTCGTCTTTCCTGAAGGATATCTAAGTAGCTTTTACAGACAACACTATACATTCACTATACAACACTATACAACCATTTTCAATCATAAAATTTGTCAATTAAATTGCGTGAGAGAAATTTGAAAAAAATCATGAACATTCAGCGCAATTCAAATGGCATTTTGCACAGAATTATTATTTTTGTAAACATTCTTTGTTTATAAATAAATAATTCAAGTTGTTTCATTTGGAAAATTTGAAGAGTTGAGAAGTCTCCTCTTCGAATAACATTAAAAAAATAATTGAACGATTGTGATCCAATTAGGCATTTCATTCAAAAAAGAATATTTTTATGCGATAATATTTTTAAAAAAGTATTTTTTTCAAAAAGTAAAACTATTTCACCCTCCCCCCCCATCCTCAGCTAAGCCCCTTCGACTGTTGTATCAGCGATGCAACCATAAAGTAAATAATAGTATTTTTCCAGTTGAAATGAACTGAACTCTATTTTCAGTGCGGAATGTTCTCCTCCACCGGAGTGTGGCAGGAAGGCATCGTGCTCTATGCATTCGCGTTTTAATTTCCGGCCCTCACTGTTTCATCCGCCCTCTTCTTCCCCCCTACCAATGACTTGCATAACTAGAGAGTAGGAGAAAAGATGGACTATAATGAAAAAAATCGAAAAGTACAGTCCTGTAACAGTTGTGACATATTTGAATGCGCAGAAATAGTCGGATTCCATCGGCAGATTCAATTCCCCAGCAGATTGATGCATCACTGAGGCACAGTGTCTCGACAACAGCACTTGCACCACAGGCAGGCCAGCAGATGACTAAGCAGACCCTCCAGGCACTGAGTGCTGTACCACGGACTAGAATTGTTAAGAATGACCAGTGGGTGCAGAGGAGAAAGAGCGATGGGCCCAGGATTACTCAGGATTTTAATTATCAACACTGGCTCATTCAGGTGAGTCATTCAATCAGCGTTGCATTGTTGTATTGGATTTGATGAAGATTGTGGTGATGGTCATTTGATCATTGTGTCGCATGTTTTTTGAATGGAGGATTTATTTCACTTGGGCAGGAGGCTGAGCAGAGGAGAATAAATGAGAAGAATCAACGCTCACCGGCGAGAAAACCTCATGTTACTGGGACATCTGTTTTGTATACTGCGACATCAGCAAAATCAGATGGTAAACCGTTGCCGGATTCTATTATTCAGACGATCACGCAGAGGATACAGAATAGGGCGCAGGAAAGACCACCACCTATTCGACGCAGGTAATTTTACTTTTGTGTTTTTCATTGTGGAGTTGTTTCAGGTGTTCTTGTTGTAGAATTTATTTTATTCAAGGTTGCGATTGGAAACAGATTGAATTTTTGATGGACTGCTATTGATAAGAAGCAAAAAATGAAGAGGAATATTTTTTTAATGATGTTCAGAATGTGCCATTGAGGATATTCGAGTGATTTGACTATTTTTTTCTCTGTTTCACTGAAATTGATTTTAATAATTGTAGTTTAAGTGTTTAATTGTTGTCGGACATTTTCTAATGCTTTTACCGTTTCAACTTCGAAAGTCTAGTTTTTTCTGAACTCTCAATGTATTGGAAATTCAAGCTTTCATTGAAATGTTAATGATCGTTGAACATGAAAAATTCAACTTGCTTGAATTTTCAAGAAAACTAAGAAATTTCATGAGTTATTTTATGTTAAATGAAATTCAAACTCACGACATTGAGAATTCATGTGACATTGTGGCTGAAATTTCAAGAAATTTCTAACAGTGTACCATTCCACCAAAAAAAAAATTGAATATCCTTTAAATGTAAACCCAGAAAACATGAAAAATTCAAATAGAAAAAAAAAAAATGAAGAGGCCCTAAATGACGCACATATTCGTCTTTTACAAGCAGACTGGAGCACAGTGTCAGCCAGGAACAGCTGTCAATACCCCACCACCAGTCCCATCAGCACCTCGCCATGATGCATCAAAAGGTGCATCAATCACCGGGTCCCTCGAGTGTCGAGTCACAGGAGAAAATGCTCAGTGTCAGTGGAAAGAAGAAATGCTCTCACTGTGGCGATGAATTAGGTATGCTTCCTGTACATTCCCTCCAATTTAATCCCACACGATAAATTTCATTCAAATCTCCCATGTCTAACGCTCGTTTCAATATTTTTATCCCAAAGGACGAGGGGCAGCCATGATTATAGAGAGCCTCCGGCTATTTTACCATATGGAGTGTTTCAAGTGTTGTGTGTGTCATGTACGTCTTGGTGACGGACTCATGGGAACAGACGTTCGTGTGCGGAATCACAAGCTTCACTGCCATAATTGCTACTCTAGCGATGACGGTACAAATTCAAAAGTTTTAATAGAAATTTTCTAGTTATAAAATTCAAGCACTAACATTATCACTCTTAAAACTCATATTTTTCAAAATTACTCATGGGGGCATTTTGAATTGCGTTTTCCAGGTGTCAAGTTCAGCTGTGTCTAAATTGTCCCAGTTTTGTGGATCCATGCCGATTAATACATATTATGCGGTTCAACTATTTTTTTAAGTTTGATTGAACAATTGGCACTGTTTCATCGCCATTCAATTTTTAATGTAAATATATGTATAAGAATAGCCTCGAGCCATCCACGAGAAGCGAAAATATTATATTACTGAAAGAGTTGACTAACAATTGTACATAAAATGTATTTATGTAATTAGAGGAATCAATTTGTGCCTGAATTGATTTCCAAACCCTTCGCAATGAGATATTGTTGGTCAAATAGTCCTGTACATTGTGTATTATAAATTGTGATATTTATGCAGTCCAGCGAGTGGACAGAGGATTGTTTTTTATGCTAATTAATTGAATGTTTTTAATCCCAGGAAGAAAACTGTTGAATCTATCAAACTATAAACATGTATGATTACGAATAATTTAGTTTTTAGTGTTGTAAAGAAGTATTGTTTAAAATTCATAACCACCGTTCAGAAAGACGGTAATACGGCCCAATAAATTTACGATTTAAATTTCAAATGAATTGTTACTGGCGTCAGTGAATGCCTCTAATCACGTACTGTTAAATATTGTATGATACGTTTCATCTTATCGAGGTAAATTCCAAGCATAAAGAGAAGAGTGTAATTTTTCTATTATCTGAGAAATATATGTTTAATGCAGTATAAAATGAATTGCTATCATTTCCTCGAAGAAAACAACGTATTACATCTCTGCAGTCTTTCATCGTAAACCTGGTTCTCAGCGTGCTTTTATATTTAGAAATTCACACGCAGATGGAGGGGAATCTGGAAATAGGAACGCGAGGCCTATCCTCGCACAGTATTTACTCCGAATAATGCATCAATCGGGTATAAAAATCGCCAAGAAAAAACAGATGGCTTTTCTTTTGTTTAATTTTAGGTGACATTGATTTCGCCACTGGGGGGTTTGTTCGTCTATACACGGCATATGTCAAGGGGACACAACCGCATCATTACCCTAATTATTCATCACTCGAGGGATCGCATCGAGAGAAGTGACGCATTTGACGTGTTGATAAATTCGTTCTGTTCGTCGTCTAAACAATTTTTTTCATTTCTAACCAAAATAACATTTTATAATGAACTTCATAATAAAAAAAATATCTCTTTGATTTGAATTAATAGTAGTATTGAAATGCAAATAGGGGACTCCAGTTGGGATTCGCCCATTCATGATGTTTAATTAAAAACATTCTATAATTATTATACAAATCAGTTGATAATATTAAATTTTTCCATTATTACATTATTTAGTAATCCGTTGCTCGACTTCGAAAATCATTTTTATGAAATTTATACAAATTTATTTAATAGTCAATGGAGAATTCAAATTATTCATTATCTTGCTAGTTCTCATTTTTCTATGCAGATTAAAAAACTTCAATTATTTTAAGGCAATAGTCATCTTAATGCCACTAGAATAGTTATTATTGCAGATCCCTGATGCTGATGCCGTTTTCGAAAATAAAAAAATCCATCAATTTTCGATTGGCCCCGAAAAATGTATTATTAAAAGCTTCTGCCATGCTAGAGTATTTTTATTCGAAAAGTACTTGAAAAAACAAATCCGCTTATTTCATCGCTAGATAAGATTCTAAAAATTTGAATCATTGTCACGACTGTCAAGCGAACAATTGGTGTTGAAACCATAAAAATTTACAGAAATTCTTCATTATTCTTCTTTTTTTTTTCTTTTTTTTTTCTTTATTTTATCTTGAACATGCCAATTAACGTTTGCAAAACAAAAAAATCAAAGTAGCTAAGTTGTCATGAATAGTCCCATAAAAATTTCTCTCGGTGCATTCAGTGGAATCGAGAATCAATCGACCCCATCTGGATCCCACTGTTACTAATTGGAAAAATATCCAGAATCACTGGAGTGGGAATCGTTGCAAGGTCGATCGACGAAATATTGGGCTCCGGCGTTGTGTACACAGGTTCGATTGCGCTATAAATAGTGTAGCTTCGCATGTATCACCTCGTGTACTCTCCGTGGTACACGAAGTTAAACGGTGCAGAACGCTTCACATGCCCATGGTGTGGGTGCGAGCTTCGAACGCCTGTCGGTCCATCGTTGGTGCTTTTTAATTCAGTCTGTCTCGAGTTATCGGTACAGATACCAGTGGTTTTGTGGTCTCTTCAAGATTAAGCATCACTACTTCATTCAAAGCTTTCAGAGGATATTCGGAGTGAGGTTGAATGTAATTGCATTCATGAATTTGGTGAGAGGGAATTCCTCGGTCTGTTTTAAATCCTGAGAATTTCCTCTTCATTGCCAGAGCGAAACCACCGCTAAGTTTTCATTATTTTTATTTGCATCAGGTCAGGTGGCCGGTGCATAGCATAACTAGTCAATTTTGAGATTATCCTGAGTGATCTGTTATTTATTTTTGAAAAAATGAGCCTTCGCTGGATTCAGGAGAACCGGACAGCCCCAACGTGCGACGAAGAATCCAGTGACATTGAAAATAGTGGTACTGATGACAGTTACGACACAGATTTATCGATAAATAACGATGAGAATGACAACTCGGGTAAACGAAGGGAGAAACGTAATACAACACGGCATTCAACCACAACGGTCACCTTCGATGAAAACGGGTTTGTAAAATTACCGAAGGTACTGATGCTTTATTTCCTTTAATCGAGGCAAGTGAGATAATTGACCCACATTGACCTTATCGATTAAAAAAAACAATGACACACGTCTGCGTGAATCATTGGCTCCGAAACGAGGGTTTTCCGTTGCATGCGAGCTTCCCGGTTTAATTGGGGAAATTCACATGTCTGGAAATATTGAGTTGTTAATTGTTGTGACCTTAATAGACTTGATCAAGTTGCTTCTTCTGGTGCAGGACAACTGTTCGTGATAATACTCATGTTGTGGAGAAAACATCTCCCTGTTTAATTTGGGATCCACGCACTTCCGTTCAGAACCCAGCTTATCAGTGTCGATTGATAAAGTTATTCTGTCGAACCGGGTATCATCTGACGTTATCACCTGCTGGACGGGTGTGTGGACAGACGAATATCGATGATCAAATAGGTAGTTTATGAAATAATGGAAATCATTTTTTTAGCAAAATTATTTAACATTTCATTTTTGCATTAATAATACCTATCGAGAATGAGAAATTTTTTGGAAGCTTAATTCATGAAGCTTTTTCACTTGAAATCATTTTTTTTAGAACGAAATTAAAAATAATACCCATGAAGAATGCGAAACTTTTAGAATTTAATTCTTGAATTGTCTTGATTCTTTGCTGGAAATAATTACCCTTTCAACTAAATTATCTAGCCTTTTATTTTCAAATCAATCAATGACACCTATAAAGAATAGAAACATGGGAAACGCTTTACATTTTTATTCTCAAACTTCAAAGCATAAATTCATTAAATTGATAAGTCTCCATCGAATTAATTCTCACTTTTGTATTGAGGATTTTTGCATTCTCAACTCATGAAGATAAATCGTTCGGGTTTGTTTCAGCATTATTCAATGTATCATCAGTATCCTTCGGAGTAATTAGAATACAAAATCCGGAAACCGGTCATTTTCTAGCGTTCAACAAAAAAGGACACCTCTACGGTGAGGTAATGTCCCCCAAACCTCAATAAAAATTAAAATAAAAGAATGAAAAAATTACTGACTTTCAGTTAAAAGAGCACAAAGACACCACAGAATGGGAGCAGTGGAGTATCGGTTCATACGAGGCATTCAGATCCCACAAATATGCAGCTGAGGGCTGGTGGATTGGGATAAAGAAGAATGGGAGGCCAAAAGCAGGGCCAAAAACCGCATGGGGACAAAAAGCAATTCAGTTCCTAGTTATTGGACATCAATAGAGTATTCTGAATCTATTCACCATTGGTTCACAAAAAAATTCAGCTTTTAGTTTTCAATATTTATTATCATACCGTGACTTAACAATGGAATCATCTTAGAATTGTGCAGTCATTGTGCTTGTGCTCGTGAGTCTCCACTTCACGATTAGCAAGTTACATTATGATACTCGTATTAGATCATCATCTCAAGTCATCAGTTGTCTGTATCCACGTACACACGAATAAGCAGCAAATAATATGTATAAGAAAGAGCGAAATATATCGTCAAACATTTTTGTCATCCCCCTCTCTCTCATTAGACATAACAGAAGTTACTTTCTATATATGCAATATATAAGTTCTCATATGACAATTATATCTAATATAATTCATTTCTCTCTTCTGTACAACAAGTACTGTAAGCGAAGCTCGTGCTTGAATATTTAATCTCTCATTAATTTTCATCTTTCACCAGCACTCGGCGGTGATTGTACTACTTCGATCATTTTCACTCATCGCTATCTGTCATGTAATTAAGGTTTGAATCAACAGAATTGTTTAAGCACAGCTCTCCTCGTTTCCTCATTAATTCAAAGGAATTACATCAATTATTCATGTAAAAATGATTGATTCCGAGAGTCTGGGATTATGAAGTTTAAATATAAATTATTTATCAATGAACTATCAATGAACTATCAAGCCTTCGTAAACTCTTAGGAGTAAGGAAGTTCCCAGACGATTAAATTATAAATTGCGTTCTTTGGTGATTGAGGCCCCATAAAACATAATTCTCGTTAAATCAGTTGCTGAGTTCTATGAACTTACTCGTCGAAAGCATATGCAATGCTCATTATCTAATTTTAGTATTAGATTCTAATATCTGATCATGGAATGAAAAATATTCTTGAATTCAAACTCGGCCGTATTATCTCTCGAACGTTTTCTTGAGTGTTTGTTTTATTTTTGGTGATGTCGAAGATTTTCTAACTGCAATTCGGTCTTACATCACATAGTTCTCCAGAATTATATATGGAATGAAAGCTGAACATTCTCAAAGAGTATTTTTAATTAATATTGGGAAATAAGTGCAATAGACAATTGCAACGATGAATTATGTATTCTAAATTTTCTTCCTATTGAACTATTACTCAATATGCATCAAAAAGGCTCTTCACAAATGTCCACGCATAATTTTTGGAGATTACAAAAATTAAAAGGAAAACACCTGGATAAAGTTTGAAAGATAATACTCCCTGGTGTATTATTTTTGAGATTTGTTCTCGAAGGATATTCCCTTTTTCGTATTCTCAACTCAAGATGGATCTAAATGCCTGATTCAACAATATTTCTCTCCATAATGTTGTTGTAGATTGTCAAAGACTGCTACAGAACCTTTTTACTCTCATATAAAATTAAGAAAAAGCATTGAGGATCTGAGAAACCCTAGAATTACTAAATCCAGTACTCGATCAGTGTCAAGCATAAAACCGAAAATACGAAGCTTACTTCTTTTTGGATTTGGGACTCGTCGATTGGAACACACTCGATGCAGACATGAGGTTCTCGATGTACTGTCCCAGCACCTGGTTTTCACTCCGCAATTTGAGATTTTCCTCCTTCACACTGTCAACTCTCTGCGACAAATCTGAAAAGCAATGCTTTCTAATTATCTCCCATTTCCGTTGGGGTAAAAAGGGGAATGTCATGGTGGCTCACCATCTAGGGTGTTCTGGAGCTCGAGGACTTGGGAAATTAGCCTGGCCTTCTCTTCCTGCTCGTCGGGACTCACGTCAGGATCTAGACCTGCGATTGCATCGTTTTAATCATCTCAATCGAACTGAATTCGTGATTACATTTATTGGATAGTGATAATTACTGTTTGGACTGCAGCTGCCATTGGTGAAAGTCGATGGTATGGAATCCATGCTACGACCACGACGGAAGGCACCTGATATGTGGGAGTCGTTGTCAGGCACATCTTCCTCTGGGATGATCACTAGTTCAATCAAAAATAATAATAAAATTCAAATCAAATAATTTATTTTTTTGTAGTTTTTAACTTGCGAATTTCTCGGTACAAACAGGACTTGTTTGAGAAATTGTTAGTTTTTCTTACAGTGTAGGGGAGAGGAAGATAAATAAACCATTGTCAATCGTCAATTACTGGAGACTGGGAGATATTTTCATTTCGAAGGTATTCCTCCAGGATTCAAAATGAAACTTGATTTATCTGAATAATATTATTGATTCAACAGATATTGATGATTTTATGTGGTTCATTTTACCTTTTAGTGTGAGATTAACGATAACCAAGTATCTTTTACAAATTTGTCAATTAAATTGCGTGAGAAATTTTTTGAAAAAATCATGAATTATCAGCGTCATTAAAATTACATTTTGCACATAAGTGTAATTCTTTTCAACATTCGTTGTTTATAAATAAACAATTGAAATTGTTTAAACTTTCGGAAACTTTATTTTTTTAGGCATGAAATAAATTATCGATCTGGTAAAATTCTGAATATGAGTAAATTTGTTTTAATTCGCAAAAAAATAGCCAGAATACTTGGATATTCTTAAATGAACCACATAAAATCGTCAATATCTCCTGTCCAAATGATGCAATTAGGGCGAATCAGGTCTTATTTTTGGAGCCTAAAAACTCCTCAAAATAAATAAAAAGTCTTTAAAATTCACTCCAGCGATCTCGAGTCATTGACGACTGAAAATGCTCCATTTTCCGCACTTTTCTCCATCAAATTAGGTCAAGCCCCAGTTGCTAATGGGTAATCGTACCTTGTGGATCATCGTCCGCTAACGGAATACTGCTCATATCGTCCTGGAGCTTGGCATTCGACATGATCGAAGTGGACATTTCTCCTCAACTAAATTGACGAGTGGAATAAAACTCGCGAGCACTAACTCAAACCTTTGCGAATGACTAATGTATCGATTCACGAGAAAATTCTGTTCCCTCTTTATATGAATGTGGAGCGGCTCACTCACACAAATTCATCATTCTGAATGTTAATCCAACAACTTTATCAATAATTATCGTTTCGATTGACCCGAGGAGACGATTAATATTTACAAAACGTCACAATATTTATGGGGGAACGATGACACCATCAGTCAAGTAGCAGAACTGAAGCACAATCGACACTGGCCTGAAGTTGGCTGAGTGTGAAGTATCGATCAGCTTCCATCTTCCTTCAAGTCGGTAAATAGGAGAGAAAAACGTAAACTTTGCAGATAAATTTGCTATTTCATGTGCCTGCAGTGATTTATATGACATAAAAATAATGGGTAAGTCCTCTCGTTGTACTTGACCATTGATTCCTCCTGGGAAACATTTTAAATGATTTATTTCGATGGGAAAGCTCATCTGTCAGACGACGTGTCATAACCTCGTCAACACCCGGCACTTCATTGTAGACATTCCAGCAAGAGTGAAATGTAAAATTGTTCTTATTTTGTTTAACGTGCAGCTGTGACCAGTGGAGTTTCCTTCGTTCTCTCCCTCATCCTCACAATAATCCTATTCTCCGGAATGCAGATGTACAAAGGCTGGCTAGCCTCCTCCCAACTGCACACAATCCTTGGAGGATACATTGGATCCATGCTATTCATATTTATTCTCACAGCACTGGGGAATCTCGAATCCACTGTCTTCGGAAAAACTTTTCAAATGAAGCTCTTTCCAGAAGGTTTGAATTTCAACTTTAAGATATATTTGTTATGCATTAATGTTTTTTTTAATGCATCAACAAACCATTTTTTTGTGCATAAATGTATTTTTTAATACATAAATGCATTTTTTTGTGCACAAATGCATTTTTTTGTGCACAAATGCATTTTTTCTGCATCCATGCATTTTTAAAAGCATGAATTAATTTTATTCAATTCCCCAGTTGTTCCTAAAAAGTCAAATTATTTAATTTTTCAGTCTTCATCTCCCTAATCGTCTCCATGATCGCTTCAGGACTGGTTCACCGCGTCTCCACGACAACCTGCTTCCTCTTCTCCATGGTGGCACTCTATTACATAAACCGCATTTCCCAGGAGACATACGCAACACCCACTGCAGCAGCTACTTTGCATACGAAAAAGAGGAAGTAATTCGTGAATAATTCATCTGTTATCTCATTCTAACGTAATAACTAAACGATTGGTGAAGATGAATCCTCAATACTCCATGACCTTCATCTAACTGAAACATGGGAATGAACAATGGAAATAATGCTTCAAAAAGTCAACAGGTACCTAAAAAAATGAATTTTATGGGCTGAAAAAAATTTCTGGGCATTTCTATTCAGATCGACGAGTACCAGAGACATTTTTACAATAATTTTTATGAATTTGTGGATTCATCTGCATTTTTCATCCCTCAGTCATGGAATTAATTTCACAATCGTTTCATTCATTTTTATTCACCAGAAGAATTTTTACACATAAAGATGAAGGAAAGAAACAATCAATCATGTAATTTTAATAAATCGATTTTTTAATCAACCATGTTGAACATGTTTGCATCCCACATGAGGATCCATCAATAATCTACACAATTTTTACGATTTACGTGCTTTGCTGGTGTTTCTGTGCTTCTCCGCCTCCTCCTTGTCACTGAAATACTCGTAAACTTCGTCAATTTCATTGCTCTCGGGTAGACTCTTCGTCTCGTACTGAGTGGTGGAGCTATTGGGTGGGTTTGGGGGGAGGATTTGCTTGTAAATCGACATGGCCTGGGCCACGAGACCCGAGACGTCTCCCACGTTGCTTGGAAGTATCAGAGTGTTGTTTGTTCTTGCGAGTTTGTTGAATGCCTTGACGTACTGCTCGGCTATGCTCAACGAGGCTGCGTTCTTGCCGTCCCGAAGCCCCAGGGAATCTGCCACCACTTGGAGACTCTTGGCACGCGCCTCTGCGACTGCTAGCAGGGCTGTTGCCTCACCCTGAGCTTGATTTATTTTCTCTAGTTTTTCGGCCTCTGCAAGAGTGAAAATCAAGGGAAATTCAATCATAAATTAATCATAAAATTGTGGAATTGTATTTCAAGTCAATCGTCGTTGAGATGCATCATTGATTCTGTGATAAAGTCCTGAAGAGTTCATTTCTACTGGAAGATCATTTTTTGGAAAACACGTCGATCTCTAGATTCGATTAATGGGATAGTTATTTTATTTCATAAATCATCGATCAGAAAGTTGAAAAAAAAGTTAAAAAATAGAATTTTTCATTTTCGATTCTTCTTATTTACTTCAAATTCAAGTAAAAGTTCTTTCTTTGCTTCAATTTGAGATTTTCGAGGAATTTCTTTTCCAGAAAAATTCAAGAGATCCTTGAAATTAATCCCTCTCCCCCTTATTTAATTTATCGAAGCAAAAAAACGGCAGATAATAAAAATCGTAAACTTCATTGAATTATCATCATGTATCAAATTTTTTTAGTGCTTCATACCTGAGGCGAGAATTCTGGCCTGTCGTTTTCCCTCAGCGACATTTATATCAGCTGTCCTCACTCCCTCAGACTCCAAAATTGCAGCTCTCTTCTTCCTCTCAGCCTCCACCTGCGACTGCATCGCCTCCTGGACTCGCGCAGGCAGTCTGATATCACCTGCAATTCAATACCCACAAAAAATAATGATACTCAGAATGAAGGGCGAATGATATTTCGCATTGATACCCACGAATTTCGTATCTGAGACATGTGATCCCCCAGACCTCGCTCGCTTTATTTATACTCGCCACGATATTGACATTGAGTCCCTCGCGTTCCCTGAACACATTGTCTAACGATATTTTCCCCAGTTCCGATCTCATCGTGGTCTGGGCCAACTGAATTATAGCGAACTCTGGGTCCTCGACACCGTAAGATGTCAAGTACGGGTCGTTTATCCTGAGGTAGAGAACACCGTCAATATCGAGGGTCACGTTGTCCGACGTGATTGCACTCTGCTTTGGCACGTCGATCGCTATTTCCTTGAGGCTCTGTACGTATTTAACTTTGTCGACTATTGGCAAGAGCACGTTGAGGCCGGGCTCCAGGATTCTGTGGAATTTGCCCATTCGCTCGACTATCCAAGCCTGCGATACCATTTTTTTTAGACTCGGCGGAATTTAAAAGAGATGATAAAAATGGTGAAGGGAGTCAACTTAGAAGTTTTTAAGGAATACATTTAAACTTGGAGGGACGGGGGTAATTAAAAAGAGTGAGCGTATCTATTGTTGCTAATGGATCAACGATACGCATTTGAATGAATTAAATTTTGACTTCAGTACGTCTACTTTAATAATCGAAACTCTTGATGGGCCAGAGAGAAAACAAGTTTGAGTTTTTAGGGATTTGCGCATTCTGAAATTTAATGAGTGAGAAATCAATGGTATAATCCTACATTCTGGGAATTTTAACCGTATATTTGAGTGATTGACTCCCTCAAGTTTACGTTAATTGTAAAAATTGGGGATAACGTTATTTAAAAATCTGGGATGGATTCCTAAAAATCGAGGCTAAATTCCTGAATATTATGAATATAGGGCCAAGAATTATCTATTTCCGATAGATTTCTGAAAGTCAAAGCTCTATTCCTAAACATTATAGATATAATAAGTTCACCGTTTCCACAAATTAAACAAAAACTAAGTCAACAAACTACCGAAAGCTTTTTTGTATTCCCTACGGCTTTTAGATGACATCGGCACAAATTAATTGTTGGGAAGCTATATTTCGCTTTTCTATCTCCTTGATATCTTTAAATATGTATCTTACAGGCCCGCTTGCACCAGCTCCGGGTAACGAAAACGTCAGATAAGAGAAAAATTAAATTTGGATGTTCGATGGATTATTGTACTCGGGAGAGTATCTCAAATTTATCCCAGGAACAAAAAATAAAATTTAATCCCAAGGTCAAATCAGTGTTAATTCAAATGGGGCTACAGGATAAATAAAAAAATATTCTTCGGGTCAAATATTGGAAAATTACGACCCCTACGATATAACTGACCCCGAGGATTTTACCCTGGGGTTTCCTTGGATAACAGGCTTGGTACAACCGGGCCATAAAATATAAAAATATAAATATCATTCGTTAGTTTAGTTTAGTCTCTAAACTAAACAAATAACCAAAACTGATCCCAAAAATGATCTGACATCATTCCCCAATTGCCAACAAAAAACCAAATGACCAAGTACTGATGGATTCAAACCTCCTGTTGTGGCACGAACATGAAGATCGTATTGAGTGGAGTGCTGGTCTTGTGTCTCACTTGAACCGGGTACACCGAACACAGTATCGGCGCGTTCATATTAACCTCCGGATGCATCGAGGAATTCTGAAAACATTCCCATCGCTTTCATCATCTGGCTCCAATAATTTCAGGTTATGTGACGCCGTCTCCTTTCTCCAGACGATGACCCAAAGAACAAGAACTTACCCGCAGGACCCCCAAGTTCCTCGTCAAGAGCCGCGTTCTGCTCAACATCTCGAGACACTTGTTCACTCTTTCCACAAATTATTATTTTCTAAGTCCCCTGATGCCGGTAAAAGGGTACGTTCTCTCGTTTGCCTCGTCTCTTCATTCGCTATATCGAGGTGTGTGCCTTGTTCAACATATATGTGGATGTCATACAGTTATCGGTAAAGAAGAAAACCTCGTGCACCCGCTAGATCACCATTGGTCTAAAGCATGAAGTTTGGCGAGTTCGACTCTCCCCACGTGCTTATCCCTTCCTCAGTGATTCCCTAACCTCCGTCTTGTTATTTACACGTGAAAAACATGAACTAGAGACAGTGACCGCTTCCAAATAAATTAATCAATCAAACATTCTAAATAAAATGAAAGTAAAGAGTAAACCCCAAGAATCGATAGAACCCGCCTGTGAATCAGAACCCGAGGATTCCGACGATGGAAATTCCTCCCTCGAAGGCTCGATATCCGAGGACGACGGAGATATCCCTGAAACCTCACTCCAACCAGGACAATTCGTGAGGAAACGACCGCTCGACTCCGAGGACTCCCTCCAGAGCAAGAAGAAAAGAATAAAAAAGAACAATGACCTGTACAAGCCCCCAACAGCCGAAGAGTTGTCCCAACTCCGAGAAACCGAGAATCTATTCCACTCGAATCTCTTCAGACTTCAAATAGAAGAAATCCTGAGTGAAGTGAAGCTGAAGGAGAAGTACAGGAAGGAGTTCGACGCGTGGTTCGCCAGACTGAAGGAGAATATCGAGTCAATCCCAGAGACGAAGGAACGAGAGCTAACGAGGAGGAAAGCACTGAAGAAACTGGGGGTAGAGGTCCCCGAGTTGGACGTCCCCATCAATCAGAAGGGAACCTACAGGTTCCTGAGGCCTTCGAACGTCTCTCCAATCGGCTCTTACACCCTGGGCACTGCAGTGGGTCCCAACGTCGTCATAGACGTCATGGTGGAGATGCCCTCCACTCTGTTCCAGAAGCACGACTACCAGGACTACAGATACCTCCGAAAACGATCGATCTACCTCTCGTACATAGCGGCAGGCCTCTCTGACTCCCTCGTCGAGGGGAAAAAATTCTTCGGGGAGAGCTACATGCCGAGGCTGAAGCTAGTCCCCTCTGGATCCCTCGGTAAATGGGCCACAGTTCATCTTCACACGGCTGCACAGAGTGGCAGCTTCAAACTGGGCAGGTTCTCCCCGGAGAAGAACTCAGTCCGACCGAATTGGCTTTCCAATTCGAGTAATGATCCCTCGGAGGTCTCTGCACTCCCACCAACTCCCCACTACAACTCCAACATTCTTCACGACCTGACGATGTCGGAGACCAACTCTCGAACCTCGAAGATTCTGAAGGAGTACCCCAACCTGAGGGATGGGATCGTTCTCCTGAAGATCTGGCTGTTTCAACGCCAGCCAGAGAGGTCCTACGAGGGGTTCAATGGCCACATCCTGACGATGTACGTTCTGCATCTGCTGTACGCCAAGAGGCTCAACACCTTCATGAGTAGCTACCAGATCGTCAGGAACGTCTGGAACAATCTCGTCCAGACGAATTGGTCGGAGACTGGGATCACGATGTGTCCGGATATCGAGGCAAAGTCCAGGGTCATCGAGTATCAGAAATATTACGACTGTGTATTCCTGGACTCCACTGGTCACCACAACCTGGCAGCCAACATAACTCTGGAGAACTACCTCTGGCTTCGAAGTGAGGCTGAAGTGGCTGTCAGGTCCCTGGACAACGCCAGCATCGACAGCTTCCAGGTGCTGTTCATGAGGCGACTGCCATTCTACTCCATCTTCGATCATTTTGTCTGCCTGCACGATGTCGAAGTCCTCGAGAAACTGTTTGAAACTGTCCCTGAGGACAGGAGGACAGACCTTGGGGTTCATAAACGATCTCACGTCGTCAGTCTCATCACAAAGGTCTTGAAGAAGGGCCTGGGGCGAAGGGTGTCCCAGGTGTACGTAAAACCCGAGGACTACAAGGAGTGGGAATTGACAGAGAAATCCCCCTCGAAACTCGCCAGAATCTTCATTGGACTCCAGCTGAACCCAGACTTCTGCTTCGACATAATCGATAAGGGACCCGAGGCGAACTCCCCAGAAGCTGCTGAGTTCCGGGACTTCTGGGGGAACAAGTCGGAGCTCAGGAGGTTCCAGGACGGCGCCATCTGCGAGGCTGTGGTCTGGACGAAGTCCCTTACAATCTCCGACAAACGAATGGTCACGAAGCAGATCGTGATGTTTCTGCTGAAATCAAAACTAGACGTATCTAAAGCCGAGTACTTCTACGCTGGAGACCAGATCGACGAGTTTCTCAAGTACAAAAGAACCAAGTTCACTAAATTCTCGTATGGAACTGGGGAGGAGGCGACTCTCCAAGCCCTGCAGGTCTTCAACTCTCTGGAGAAGGACCTCACGTCATTGACAGATCTTCCATTACCGATTACTGGGGTTCAGGGGGCGAGTCCAGTGTTCAGGTACACTGATGTCTTCCCTCCCCTGGCGACAGCATACAGGGCGGACGAAAGAACCGTTGAAGGGGAGAATTGTCTTCTCCTGAAGGAGGAGTCGAGCCTCGAAGAGGCCCCCAGGTCAGCCCCAGCGATGGAGGGAGTCATCCAGCTGTGCGCCAGTGGCAAGTGGCCGGATGAGCTTGAGGCAGTCAGGATGACGAAGGCAGCGTTTCACATTCAGATAGCTGAGTGCGTCAGGAAGACTTTTCACCTTAAAGCGAAGGGGAATCCCGATCACGTGGACATCCTCAAGGATGGCTTCGTCTTTCGGCTGAGGGTGGCACATCAGAAGGAGATAGCCCTGTTGAAACAGCAGTTGGGGGAGGACGGGGTCATCAAGTACAGGGACAACGAGGAGTCGATCTCACTGGAGAACCAATTGTTCCATCTCCCCAAGTTGAATGGTGCACTGCACGGTCTGCACTCCCAGCAGCCCTCCTTTGGACCCACGTGTTGTCTAGTGAAGAGGTGGCTGACTGCGCACCTTCTCGACGCCTTCCACTTCCCCGAGATTGTTGTGGAGCTGCTGGTGGCTGCGATGTACCTCAATCCGGATCCTTACAAGCCCGCGCAGCTCCCCCAGACTGCTTTCCTCAGGGTCATGGAGTTCTTCGCGAGGGACGCCTGGAGCACTGACCCTGTGATCGTTAATTTCAATGGGGAGATGACGAGGGAGGAAGTCGTGGCGGTGGAGAACCACTTCGGGGAGGCGAAGGAGGAACTGCCACCTTTGTTCATTTCCACTCCGTACGATCATACGAAGTCCATTTGGACGGGGAAGAGTCCTACGAGGCTGGTGTTGAACAGGGTGGGGGCCCTGGCGAAGGAGGTGCTGAAGCTCGTGGAGAGGATGCTGGTGGGGAACTCCCTCATCGCGTGGGGACCGATGTTTAAGGCCACCACTGCTGGCTATGATATTCTCATTCGCGTCAAGGCCGCACTGAATGCGAGGAGACTGCAGTCTCTCGAGCTGGATGATAGCTCTCCTCAGGAATTTCGGCGGCCGTACAAACGACGTCCTGGGGAGACAATTCCGATCGTTGGGTTCAATCCGGTGGAGAGGTACTTGGAGGAGTTGAGGGTGAGTTCAGAGGTTTTTTAGGGCTCATAGTTATGGATCTGATTATAGCTGTGGATACACGAGTTTTTTGAGTGATTGAAGGAGATTATTTGTTCAAATTTGACGGAATGATTCATTTGTTCATTCGCTTGAAGTAATTGCGCATTCTTTTGCTCTCATGAATTTAAGTACATAACGAATTTTGGGGTTCTTTTAATTTCTCTTGAAGTATGTATCATTAGTGGTAAATTTGAGTTGAATTATTCTGTTAAAACCAATGGAAATCACGAGAATTCAGGTAAATATATCCTTGAATCATCAACTAATTGAAAATTCAGTGTAATTTAATGCTAAATATTCATCTTTTCATTGAAAATACAAATAGAGAAATTCTCGTCTTCCTGCTGCTCAAAAATTAAGAATTGCATAGAATTTTCAATTAAATTTGACATTCCATAATTACCTTCCACCTATTTAAATTCAATGCCACTCTCCTGAAAAATACCACTAAACTGTCCATGAAATTTCATCATAATATAATTATGGAAATTCTGGATGAGCCTATAGGATATAATGGGGTTCAATTTTTCAGGCCAACTACGGAGCATTCGCCTTATTCTTCCACGACACCTACGGGGGATCTGTGATAGGCGTCCTGATGAAGCCCACAGAGCTGGAGAAAAGGGACTTCAAAGTCACAACTGTAAACTGCAGAAAGATGGATGCCTCCGGGAAACTTGTGCTGAATGTACCAGCCATGATCGAAGATTTCTCACTCCTCGGTCGTGGCCTAGTTGAAACTATTGATGTACAGTCGAAGAACATCGCATTCAACTGAACGCGATCACTTCATTTGTTAATTAATAAAATAATTACGATGTATTTTTATAATTCGTAGGAATGAATTGATGGAATAAAAAAATAAAAGCCACGTATTCATAACGATATTTTTTCTTATTCATTACTTGATATAAGCACGTGACACAATGTGTTTTTCATATTTACAATTTAAACATCCACGCGATCATTTATTTATTCATTATGTATTTTCATTTGCAAATGAATACCGGTATTATATGAAAAGATAATAATGAAATCGTTTCAATAGTCTATTACTTAATCAATGAAAATACGAGTTAATGATAATGGGAAATAATAATGAATCACAGCTTAAATTATTGATATTGTAAACTTAAGCGCAGCCCTGGGTAAATGAAATGAATAGATGCACGCCATTGGGAGGGATAGTTATGTTAAAAGTAATTGGTTTTAGCATAAATGATAAACGAATTGATACGAATCACAAATAATGATGTTACACTAGATAATGTAAAATGTACGGACTAACAGTACTTGATTTTTCAGGATGGTCCGGTGTGTTTTAAAAGCAGTCTTACATTTCTTTCGTGCAGATTATGCAGACCACTCTCAATCACTCGAGAAAAAAAAATTATTTTCCATTTATTAATCCTTAATCTACATTCACTAAATATTTCTCATCACCTCTAGCCCACATTCGTAGATCACTGAATAGCGATAATTATTCATTAAAACACTTTATGTACATTGAATTGAATAACATTAAATTAATCATTTTCTTACGTATCATTTTTTTTTAAATCGTTTCTGTAATATAAATGTCACTAGTTGTGAATTCCTTAGTGCAATCTTAAAATGGGCTTGAGATCGGGCTGGGAAGAGGACGAGGCGTACTTTCAGTGCTCGATCTTGTTGTTTTTTTTTTCTTATTTTTCTTTTAAACAGTCAACTAAACTAATTATGCGGGCAGTACAGGTGTTTTGTATCTTTTCTCTCTTCTTTGCGAGTATAAAACTTATCGGTGAAACAGAGATAACTCAAAGATTTTTATGTCATCACAAGATTATTTCTCTTGTTTATCGTTTTGAATAACCACAACGTCGTTTTCAACTAATCTCGAGCCATCTGGTTCGTCTGGAATTCTAATTTTGTATCACTCTAAGCTGCGAACAATTCTACATTGTCTAGTAGTTCTACAAATGTACAGATGCAAATTTTCTCCATGATAACATTTCAATATTTTTTGCTCTTAAAATTTAGAAATAAAACTCATTGAATTGATGATTTCTTTCCGCTTTTTTAACGTGATTTTTTGTTTAATGGGGAGATCAGAGCTAATTATGAGATTGGCTCGAATTAATTCCGTTTAAGCGATAGTGAATTTACCAGCGGAAGCTAGGGGACTCTTTTGGCATTGATAAATTCTCATTACTTCCTTTTTAGCTAACATCTTTGTTACAATGTTAATTATTAAATTTATTAGTCGTCAATTGTTACTCAGGACTTTGTTTTCGACTTCTGAAGTTCATTAGTCACTTCGGCCCCTCGATTTTCCCTCCCTTCGGCATTCACTTTTCGAAAATGTAGATTATGTACAATTAATACATGATTAACACAAATATCCCTATTTTTTACTCGTGTAATGATCACAAAGACTTTTTCCCCCCTGCAACTCCCTCGAATTCTCTCAGTAATGATGATGGTTTGGTTTCGCGGCTGTTTTTTACGTGTAAAATTGACTGATAAGATAATTACAATACCAAATGCGACAATTGCTGAAACAGAGTATCTCTCCATAACAATTGTATCACCTCGGACATATCGATTAGGTAAAAAAATCATAGAAATATTTTCGTTACAATTAAAAACAAGCTCGAGTTCCATTGCTTGGTCTTCATCATGTTTCAATTCTCCTTATCAGTATTTTTATTTTGTCACTGGAAAATCGAATCAACCGATTTAATGATAACCATCTGCACTGAGATGAAGTACAGAATGGGATGATGCGTTAGAAAGGCATGTACATGGATTGATTATTCCATAAGTTAGGATGCGCCCGAAAAATTAGGACTTGTTATCATTTTTTAAAAACTTGCAAATTCCCCGTGACGAGGAAATAATTTTGAAACGATAATAAAATAACTGATGACTCGTGGTATACAGGAAATTTGAGCTTAAGAGGAGATGGCACTGAAATTTTAAAATCGCAGGGGCCTCTATTTACCGTGTTGATGAGTTTACACCTTCAGTTTTAACGTAAAAAATAAGAAAAAAATTGGATTTTGATTTTTTTCATACAGAATATATACATAAATATAACTGAATGAGGCTCTTTAAAAATGTTAATTTTTAGTTTTTGTGAATTTTTTCATCAAAATTGCTACAGGTGAATTTTTTTGGATTTTTTTCATCATGTTTTTTTATTATATTCTCAATACATGATTCGAAAAATATGAAAAAAAATTCACTTCAATGACTTATGATTTAATTTTTTTTTAATTTCACATCAGCCAATTTTCGGAAACAAATTTCAAAAACTTCAAAAATAGGGAATTTCAAAGAAACTCATTTAGTTATCTTTGTGTACATATTATTAATATGTGAACCAAAATTTGGGTCAATCGGTTGAGAACTGCGTCATACGGACACTTTTAAAGAATTTGATTCCTCTACAGCCTCTTTCTAATCACAAAAAAATTATATCCTAATTTTTTCTCATTCTTTCACATTAACACGGAAACGCCAATTTAGAAAATTCAGTGCGCTCTTTCTTTAATGATCGCTAGAATAGTCTGGCTCAGAACCAATTCCTCCATCCCTCGAATGACTTCTTTTGCCCCTTAAAAAAATACCCCCATACGACCTGACAAGGACGAAATTCCCCGAGCATAAAGTAGGAAAATACGACCCAAAAGATAATGAAAAATCACAACCGTACCTAGCCAGCAGTCAGTCGTGTTTCAATGTTCAAAAACAATTGAAAATAATTCATCAATACCTTATCTAGATAAACAAACTATAAGTTGCCTGTAGTTTCACGATTCTCCTCCGTCACACGGTATCAATTACGAGAACGAAAATACCAGTGATTAGTTTATTGATAATTTGCAATTGCGCAATGTTTACCACCCTGCACGAGTGCCTATGCAAATTGGGTCTGAATTTTAGGTGGAAACACCTGTACCCCGGCCAGAGATCATTCGTGGACGATATAGCTTTTTTCATTCCAATTTGTTCTCATCTCACTTGCTCTCATCAGGAAGAATCAAATTTATGGTTTTTCAATCACATAAAAACTCCACATTTCATCAGCCACATTCACTGTACACACACTAGTGTCGAGTCTCTCACTCGATTGATTTTTCAAGAGAATAGGAATTATTTATTCTCATTTTCACGATACTCCGAGTGAAATGATTGTTCATCACAAAGAAATGCTTTGCCAAAAAATAAACACACCATTGTATTTCACTTCCACATATTAAAGTAGAGTGATTCGCAGTAATGAAAAATTTCACTCGATAAAATCGTGAAAATAAAACGACTCAAAACTGTTAATCCAGGTGATTGTTAATAGCTATATGTATAATTCATCGATTTTCGGAATAAAAAGTAACGACACATTGGCATCATTGGATCCTATGAGGCAGACAGCAAGATAGATAATTCATATTAAATTTAATCATCAACTGTACCTCTCAATTTTCATTAAAATCAGCTGTTAATGGCTGTACAATGATAACAAGACATCCCACGACAGACCCCTGCATCAAGCATATCAACCCGAAAAAATACAATATTTTTTTTATCATTTATTCACCCAAGTTATTTCGGAATAGCAACTATAAGTACATAAAAACGTTCTGTCATAGGTTGTCTTTAGGTCAATGCGATTGCTGTGTACAATTGGATAGGGCACCCACGGCGAATATTACAATTCTAATAAGTTCTTCGTTAATAAGATCGCTGAGCTAAAAATTTCATTAGTGCTTTCTTCTCATCTGATTTTTACCTAGCAAGTATATTGTCAACTAGTGCTTGCTCCAGGTATTTTCGATTACATATCGAGGCGTAATAAGCTTAGAAATTTCCTTCAGTGCCAAACACATATATACAATTATTAATGAACCAGTGAAAACGTCGATATATCCAAAATTGTGAAATTTCAGTACGAAAACGTCATCAGAGTGGATCATTGGCAATTAACAAAGCGATCTTACGAAATCAGTAGTAAAACGATTCAAGTTGATGTTGACTATTGGTAAGTTTTCAATGAATATCTCGGAATCTAAGGCAAATAGTGAATTTTTCCTCATAACATTTTTTGTAGCTCTCAATTCGCTCTAAAAAAAAGGTCTTAACGAAAATTTCGCTATTCCCCTTAGATTCCGAGATATTCCTTGAAAACTCAGTCAACAGCTGCGTTGACTTGGATAACTTGACTGTTTTGCCACTGAAATAAACTCCCCAAACCGAAAGAAAAAGTCGCATAGCTATGACCTTTTATTGTCCACATTAAGAAAATAAATAAACGAGAAAACAAACTGAAAAATGCGAAAGTTCGAGATTTCGAAACAACTCCAATTTTGTCCAGTAAATTATTTACGTAATTTCGGCGCTCTACTGCCTATTAACTCTCTTCATCATAAAATATAGTTCACTCTTTCACTCTCTCGGTCAGTGTAATGCCGTAGCACGATGCGTGCACACGACATTGACAGACTCCGATGATAATGACCTAATAATAATGATAATCAATAATGATACCAGTAATATAACAGCTGTAGTGGTAGTATTAATGGGTGTGGTTGGTGCTGCAGTTACTCGTTATGCTTATTTTTTTTCCTTCCTTTTTTTCCAGTTGTTGATGGTGATTTTAAAAACAAAACACTTCAGTTACATCAATTGGACAACGGTGGTGATGTTGTTGTTGGTGTTGCTGTAACAGTTGTCTGAAGTACCGAATCCCTGGACGCTGATCGGCTGAAGTCACCGAGTAATTTAATCACCTCTCTTTCTCGATCACCAGTCCCCTCGACATCTCCATTGTCCCGTTTACCATGCCTAACAACTCCAACATTTCTAGCTCCATTACCACCAGCACTATTACCCGGACACTGCACCGTATCGCCAAGACCAACAGTAAAGGACAGTCATTTCTGTCTTCCACTTTTTTTCTTCTTTCGTTTAAAAAAGCAGCAGCATCTGGAAATGAAGCAAACACTAATAGGACTTAGAATCGCTTCGAATAGTCTCGTTGTGTTTTTGGGGTTTCTTTAATTTCTAGGTTCCTCATTTGAAAAAGTCATTTGGGGAGAGATGGAGACGGCTTGAGAGCCAGCTGGGTTGAAACGTGCCTGATGAAAATGTCGTGCATTACCAGAGTGAGAGTGAGATGCCGGGGGTGGGCTTGTGTTGTTGAAGAGAATGAGATATGAATGTTTTTCTGAGGATGGGTGTGAGGGCGTTTATTGCTACTACTTGAAAAGATGCTCTGATTTTTCGAGTTGTGTCACCTCGGAGATTACAAAAACTCAATCTTTTTATTCTCAGGTGATGAGAGAATCTTGAAATTCTTAATTTGGAACAATGAGTATTAATTTGAAAGGAGCAACTCATAAAACTGCAAACTGTAATGGAAAAATTCATGGGAAATACTTTTCTCTTGTTCATTTCCATCTAAATTACACCACTGATGACGAAAATTCAATCCTTTTATTCCCATGAGGAAATAACATCGTCAACTCCATAGCAATGGATTTTATTTGAAGGGAACAGCACATAAAACTATAAATTCGAATGAAAAAAAATCATGAAAAATGCGTTTTCGGCGGAAATCCAACTGTCAAGTGAAAAGAAAGAGATAACAATTTTTCCGAACATAAATATATACAAAAATTCAATCTGTTTATTCTCAAGCGTAATGGGTTTTAATTTCAAGGAAACAACTCATAAGATAATAAACATGAATAAAATAATGCTTCCCTTCGGAAGCAAAAATCATGGAAAAATACATTTGGCTTGTGCGTCTCGCGTCGTAGTGTTCCTCGTCGATCACCGATTACTTTATTGAAAAATCGAAGGGTCACGTGGTCATGGTAATTCATGGAGACGTTGTGTTTTAGGGGCAAGTGTTAAACCCGGTGTGCGCGAATTGGATTTGATCGTTCTGCAGCGAGGACACGTTTTTAATCGCTTTGATGAAACACCGATGCTGGAAATAATGACATTGTAACGATTGAGAAGAGTACGAAGAGGCAGTCATGTGTAAATTGCTTCATGAGAGAGTTCAGCATGCACTGAGCGAAAAAATTAGCTCTGCCGAAGAACTATGCATTCCATGGGAGAATATTTGATGAAGTGAAGCAGATTTATTTGGGGGAAATTAACCAATTTAACAGAAGGAAATTTAGTATTTTTCACAAAACTTCGATCTTTGTCGCGATCATCACGACAAAAATATCCTTGAAAGAAGTCAAACTGTTGGCAGGAAAAAAAAAATCTATTATACGACAATCATTTGATCTGGGAGAACAATACATTGACGAGGAAAGAATATTTTTTTCCCAAAAAAAATTGCCCCCTCGAAATTATTTAATTTTGCCAAAACCCCAGTTTACGTCAAGAAAATTATGGTTTCCTCCTGAAATTGTGGTTTGTTTCTTGAAAATTATAAGTGTTGATTGAACAAAGATATACACTACTCAATAAAATTCACTTGATAAAATCGGAGTCTCATACAATTCTCTGTAGAACGGATGTATTTACCCGAAAGACAAAAATGTCTCACGAGACCAATTACTACGAAAATTATCATGTTTCGGTGGAAACTTTCTTCTTCACAAGTAAATTGATTCAACACGACAAAAGATCTCTTCAGGAGAACATATAATTTTTCGGCACAACTAACTTTCTCTGGATGATAACACACGATGATTTATTAATCACATTATCCTCCGTGAATTACAGGATTTGCAGACTCATGAGGAGAAATCATGCGGAAAATAGTACTTTTAGAAATTCTTCTTCATAAAATGAAAAAGTTTTTCCCCCGGGGTTTTAACCCTCCTTAATCATAAATTCAGTAGCGAAGTGGTCAACCGGTTTAAGTCGATTTTGGTTATTGGCCAGTTTTCAATGAATATCTCGAAATCTAAGGGAAATAGCAAAATTTTTCTCATAACCTTTTTAGTAGCACTTAATTCGCTCTAGAAAAAAGATTATTATGAAAATGTCGCTATCTCCATTAAATTCGGAAATATTTCTGGAAAACTCAACTAAAGACTAAATTGACGTAAAAACGTTAGACCACTTCGCTACTGAATTATTCAATCATGGTCAGATAATTATGAGCAAAGATGCATCAATTAATCCCCTACCCATACCCAATAGAAACGTGCATTAAATTAAACATCCTAATGTCATAAAAAATTGGTACTAACTTGGTTTCATCGATCATCTCGACTTCTTGAGGAGCGGTTATCGGTGTGTTTGAGTGGCCAGCGGTTGGATCATCGTTTGCCAATTCTCCGTTCGTCGAGGACACCACCTAGATCAATCAAAAACACCATCCATTAAATAAACGCAGTGCAAACATCATCAATAACGAATGATAAAAGAGAAAGAAGATTGAACTGAAAGAGTAAATCGAATATATAGAGCAGTAAAAAAGAAATAACTCAAATCGTAAACTACAGCATGAAATATAAATGAAATGAGAGGTTTCACTAACTCAGGGTCCTTCTGCTGAGTGTATTGGACACCTGAGACATTAATCATTTATCATTGAGAAACATTGAAGTAGAGTACATCGATGTTTATACCTAAAGAATACACATCTCAGAGTGATTGATAATGAGTGGTATACACAGTACAGCAGTACGGCCATTGAACCGTGAAGACGTTTGGACTTTAATTCAACCACATTTACGATAATCAACATAGTACTTGAAATGGGGATAATATAATACTTGCAACAGCAGATACGGCAGTTAGTGAATGCTAATTACCCAGAGAGGATAAGTATTAATTGATAAATAAAAATAACAACGCAGAGACCAGCATGCGGCATTAATGATAAACATGAGAAAACAATAACAATGTGTTGAAAGGGGTGGGCGGGGGTGTGTCGGGGGTTGGGGGTGTGGAAGAGAGGAGGAAACCAAAAAAAAGAGTAACGTGGACTGACCATAATCCGATGATGCCGAGACTAAAAAGGAATTCAACAGTTAAATTCTGAGCACGTTTTGACATACCGTTTCACGTCATCAAGAAAATGAAACTTTGAATGAACATATTGAACTCTCACTTGAACGAAAATCGGGGTAACACGACGTTGTACATTGACTTCGGTTATAATTTGCAAGAGAAAGAAAAATTTTCAAGTAATTCTTTTTTTCTTTACTATTTTGTTGACTTTTTTAAAACGAGGGGGAGAGGATGATGCGGGTTTACTCACCTGTACGGAGCCATGTCTGTCGGCAGGCGTCAAAGTACCACCAGCACCCGATTGCTTCACCGTCTCTGGCCAACTGGCTCCCACCCCCTTACCGCCCCCGCCTCCCACCCCTCCACCTGCCACTTCCTGGAGGAACAAGCGGGACATTTTTGGATATAGCGTATTTTGTTAGTTGAACTCTGATGTCATCGCATAATCAATTTTTTTGGTTTCGAGTTTTGAAGGGGGTGTTGAATGCCATTACGATATCACAGATGTGTGTGTATGACTCGAGGGGTTTCATCTTTCAAACGAAATCATGACGTTGATTTGAAATTTTAGCAGGGGCGAGTGGGGCAAAATGAACGTTGGGAATTTTTCTAGCAAAGGGGTAAAGCCATTCTATCTGAAATGATAATATCTCGGAATCTGAGGGAGATGGCGAAATTTTCGTAATGACCTTTCTTGTAGGACACTTCGAGAGCTACAAAAAAGGTAATCACTAAAATTTCGCTATCTACGCTAGATTCCGAGATATTCGGTGAACACTGACCAATAGTCAAAGTCGACTTGAACCATTTTATCGCTTCGCTAGTGAAATATTCCAACCGCCGTTGCAACATCCCTTGTAAATTCCAGATTATTGTCACCATTTACATTTTTCGGAAGAAGTACCTCAATTTGAGTGGAATGAATAATGTTGAGATGTTCGTCGCGGTGAGAAAGATGAATTGAACGATACAGTCGGTCCATTTTTTCAGTTCAACGAGAATTTAAACGAGTGCCGAGGCATTAACAATTGAGCTTTATGTCGACTGCTGCAATAAACTACTGTAAACTACTGTAGTGCAATGATACTCTGTACTGGCGACAATTAATCTAACGCATTTGTAAAACAGTATAATCGAGCGCTCTACGTGATGCCAAGAGGTCTTTAATTAAAATAATATTTTCTCTCATTGTTCCTTTTTCTTGTTTTCACTTTGTGAGGCTTACATATCGTCCTTGCAACTCAACGCGCACTTCATCCAGTATCAGAACAACATCCTCCTCGAAATCATCATAATCCTATTCGTCGTTGTCACGTTAATCCACGTTTGTTGTGCCAGTCAGCAAAAATTAAAATTGTGTTGTTTTTAAAAATGAATGTTCTTCATTTTTATACTCAATTTGTTTAGTTTCAACGGAAGTATCATCGTTGGGCTTTGAAATGGAAACATAATGCTAGCATTACTGATAGTATGGATACGGATGATCGAATTTTTAACTCAAAATTTCAAGTAATGAAATCATTGTAAAATGTCTAGTGACGTAGGGTCCGTGTAGTTAAATGTTGAAATGGATTTCAACAAAAAAATGGCCTAGGTACTTTCGTCCTCGAATGTTCTGAGAGATATCGAAGTATCAGATGCAGATTCGTACAAATCAAACTATAAATTTTGACATTTTCAATCATCACATTTGTGAATTGAATTCCGTAAGCAAAATTACATTTTTCGCTTCAATTTCCTTCTCAAATACAACCAATCGGAAATGTCCAGGCTTTCGAAAACCTCAGCTTTTCAGTATGAACTTTATCAAGATTAAAATAAAAATTGTGTGTTTAAAAAAATGATTGTTCTCCATCTTCATACTCGATTTGTTTAGTTTCAATGAAAGTATCATCGTTGGGCATTGAAATGGAAACATAATGCTAACGTTGCTGATAATATATTAAACCCGATTCACGATTACCAGTGTTTTCATTGCTTTCACAAACTGCAAGGTAGTACATGCGGTTACTTGAGTAACAGAAAAAAAAATAGTTTTCTTTTTTACTGTACACGACCATGCTTAGGAAATAAATACTGAGCATCCTGTTACCTTATATGTGCCAGGATGCCGATCTCGATTCGGCGACATGACGATCTCGTGTCCTGTCTGCATAGATCCAACGGGAGTGGACTGTAATGCACAAAACATATAATGAGATTGATGAAGAAACACGTGACTGAGATTCTCGAAATTTTTGCAAAGCTTATTCATAACATACTTGATATTTCAATGATAACTTCGAGCCCCTGAATACGAGATTATTCAATACGGACATGAAACATGAGTATCAACTACTACTGCACCTAATAATAATGATATTTGTTTAGATGGCGAAGGCTGGCGTGTTGAGATTGCGGATTTTTATGCACTTATGACAGCTGAGGGAGATTAGATGGAGCAAAAAATGAGACTACTGGAGATGAATTATAAATGGAATGACGAGGGAAGGAGAAACGCGGATTGAGGATATCCAAGTAGAAATTTTGAATAATTAAATTTATGAATTGCATTTCGTGAGTAAAATTTGAGAAAAATCCTGTTGAGGCTTTCGAAAGCCTCATGACTATTATTTTGTTTTCATTTTGTTTTCTGTTTTCATTTCCCATTTTTACTAGCATTTTGATAACTCTCCTTGTGTTTTCTCTCTTCCAGCTCAAAGATCTCGATGTAAATAGCTGAGATGAGAGACTGAGCGTAGTTTGTGAAAAAGTAAAAGCTAAATGTTAATATTGTTTAATCTTTCGAAAGTCCTTTCCAGCTGGATATTGAGATACATAAGAATCTTAAAAATCTAAAGATGTTTATGCATTTTCTCTGATATGTAACATGTTTGTATTCACAACTATATTTTACGGGGCAATGGGAAGGGAACAAAATGTAGAAACCCGAGAGGGTATACATCTGGACCAAATAAATCAAATCATTGTTTATGAATTTTATGCATGGTAAGGGTCATAATCTTCTGAAATATCGATAATTCAATTTTTCTATGAATTTCCCTCAGAAAGTAGACTTTCTCATTTGTTTTACATTTTCAAAAAATTCTCGCAAATTAAGATCGTTACATTTCAAATAAAAAAAAACATTTTACTGAAAAAATGGATAGTTCCGACTGGGATTTGTAAAACTTTCGTTGGAAAGAAAAACAAATACTTGGACAACCTCAAGGTCATCGTGCATCCTCTCATGCATCTAACCACAACTACCACCATTAATGACTCTTCCTCCATGAATGCAAGTATTTAGCAAAAAATGAGATGCCAGAATCCCTGAATTTCGCTTCCGGGTGGAGTGACGAACCTTGTCAGACTTGGTCTTTCCAATATGAGAGGGTGCGGCGTCCCTCAATGCCCGAAGCTGTACAAAGTTGTCGGGCTAGAGAATAGATATAGGGCAGCATGCAAAATTCAAAGATTAATAAGCCAACCGTAGAGCCCCAAGAACTCGTGATGAATAAGTAACGCCATTAACTCCAGAATTCCCACTTTTCTTCGTTTATTTCGCTCATTAGAATTTAACCATGATTTATTAATCGAACATGCAGTGCAGTATCTCAACTGAATTATATTATCAGTTATTTTCAATCGTATTTTAATTATTTAGAACCCACCATTGTTTTCCCCGTCCAATCGAACTCGCCGTCATTGACGAAACCCCTTCTCTCGTAAAGATCCTGGAAGAGTTTTCTCAGGTACTCGTAGTCGGGTGTCTCAAAGAAATCCAATCTTCTGACGTAACGTAAGTAAGTGGCCATCTCCTCGGGATGACCGTCGCAGAGTACCTCGATTGGTGTTGCACGCTTTGTATCCCCAATCTTTTGGTAACGTTCTTTAAGCGTATCTGCTTTGAGACCCTGCCAGGGTAAGCTACCTCGTAGAAAGTACATGAACATGTGTCCAAGTGCCTCAAGATCGTCTCTCCTGCTTTGCTCTTGATTTGAGGGAGAAATCTCCATTAATGTTACATTTTTAGAACATTTAATTTTTGAATGAATGTCTGGTCAATCATAAATTAGTAAAAAATGATAGTAAAAGTATTTTTTAAAAAGAAGTGGATAGATTCCATGCACGAAAAATATAAAACGTGGGCTTTGCTTTGGAAACAAAATAACAAAATAACATTATTAAATTTTTGAGAAAGATAGTGAGCTTTTTCAAGGAATTATTTTACTGGGGTGTAATAGATAGATAGGTTTCATTTTTTGAATGAATACACAGAGGAAAAGGATGTTCTGTTTTTAGGGACATGTTTGTCATTTTTATGAATCTGTCTCTATTTTTTTAGGATTCTCGACACTGATAAGAACAGCCTTACAATAACGGATTTAACAACTGAAAGTTACGAACAAAATTCCTAGAATGTAGCATTTTTTACGTGATTCTTGGGATTGTGTCAATGAAATTAGCGACAAACTCGTCCAATTTGAGGATTTCCGACTCGTTAAATGTTATTATCCATAAAAACTTAACCCGATAAATGATCAACTGTCACTAGGCGATTGATGATTGTCCAGATATTCAACATCCCTGCCCCATAACATCTCAAATAACGAAACAACACGAATTATTCTTCGACACGTCATGCGGTAAATTCATAGATAAAAACATCGACTTGAGAAATGAGATTGACTAAAAGCAGCTGAAATCCCCCCCTCGACTCGTCTAATCTGCATGCTGAAACCTCTAATGAACATACCATTCTAAGAAATTCAACGACCCAAATTAATCTCCATAAAAATCATACCTTTCCCCAGATGAGTATTAATACTCATATAACGTGCCGTTCCAGTGAGACTCTTGTGTTCCCGGTACGGTATATGTTTATTAGTTTCCAAGTCTATGTATTCTTTGGCCAATCCGAAATCGATGATATGAATGATCTTCTCTCTCTTAGTCGTATTACGTCCAATGAGGAAATTCTCTGGCTTGACATCACGATAAATCAGATGTCGACTGTGTACATATTCTATCCTATGGAGCTGCGACCGAGGAAAAATAAAAATCCACACATTCACCATTATTTATGAGTCACGAGGGCAAACAAAGGGCCAGTGATACTCTCACTGTCTATCTTGTAAGGAGTAAAAGAAAAATAGTAAAATGACAGACTTACGAGTTGGGTGGCTATGTTGAGAACAGTTTTAAGCGTGAATTTTCTCCCGCAGAGGTCAAATAGATCTTCAAGACTCGGTCCAAGGAGCTCCATTACCAGGGCATTATACTTTCCGCATGGGCCAAAGTAGTACACCTCCGGTACGCCTTCTATATGCGTGTTATGGACTGTACCAATGAATCGTTGTATGTAACGTATTTTTTTAATATGCCGTTTTGAAGGTAATGGCAACAATCAGTGGTACAAGCAGAGAAATAATTCGCATTTCGCCCTTGTTTCACCTCTTGTACTTTTTTTCTTTTTAGCACTCGTAATTTTTATGGAAAAATCGATACAAACGAGGGCTTCGCGATTCTCGTAACCGAGAGAAAAAACGAGGTAGTGCCACAAAACTAATTTCTTCAGCAAAACGAATGGCTTGGGACAAGAATTTCATAAGATGTGACAACTGTTGAAAATTGTTGGCTGAAATTTTGCGGCGCACTTCTGGAAATTTTTTATCGGATTGGAGTTCCACTGAAATTTCAGGGGATTTCTGCATTGAGAATTCAACGTTTTATGGAAAAATCAATGGAAGATGTTAATTTCAGGTCAATTAACATTCAGGTTGAATAATAATTCCATGAAAATCAATAGAAATCGGAAAATTTCAGGTAAATATATTCTTGAATTTTCAATGCACTGCAAAATGCAGTGCTATTTGGTACTGAATATTCATGATTTGATTGAACATTCAAGCGGGAAATTCTCGTGTGGCAGTTGCACAAAAATTGGAAATTTCATTAAATTTTCACTCAAGCCTGAAATTTCACAATGTTTTTTCCTCTTCAATCGAATTTCAATTATCCATGAAATTTCCATTTGTTTCTGACAGTGAGGCCACGTGAAAATGCTGTAAAATGTTCATGCCTTGAACATTACTTCACGATCAAGTGACAATTGTTCGACTCAAGAAATATTTCTTTCCTGTCATGAAATGAAATAATGACTCAGGGGCATTCGTATTGAACGGATGCAGAAGTCACGCAAAGAAAAATCTCCAGACATTCCTGAAATGTGACCGTCGCTTGTACTTAATTGCAAAAGCAAAAGAAGTTATACCAAAGAAAATAATTTTCATTCAGTATCCCACTACTTCATGTCGACTTATCATGAATTGATCAAATTATTATGCTCACGAAATTATTTCCATCGTATTTTCTCGTTTTTTCTCACACCGCACAAAGCAAGCGACAACAGAATACAAATGCAACGAGTACTCACCATGTGTACCTAATAATTTATAAAACCTATACTCTAAGTGGAGCTGTGGCGCCTTTGACTTCATTGGTTCCTGAAAATAATTCAAATGGAATTCTCAGTAATGCTGAATTAGTGATTTAATTGGATAAAGCAACTTGCACTCTGGGATTTTAATTGAACAAACTCCAGTGGCCCCGGAGTTTGTCCCCGCCGTCAAGCTCACCTCACTGGTATAAACTTGGCAAATACTAGGGATGATATAATAGACAAACGTCTATAGACTAATTACCTCGGTTTATAACAGGTGTCTGGATGGCCTTACTATTTTTCCATCAAAAGTATCAAAGTTTCAGTATTACGTCAAGAGTTTAAGCCCACTGGGTGAGAGTCTCGTATGATATTACTTTCCCCTAGATTCTATGTACACGTGATAAACAAGTGCAGGTTGCTTTTACCTCGACAATATCAAATATCAACAATGACAGGTACTCACCATTTTAATTGCCACGTGCTCATTATTGTAGAGATTCTTCCCTGTAAAATCACAAAGAAAAGTCGGCATTAGAGTCAGCATAACGAATAAAATGAGTAATGAGGTGTGAGAGAATGGATCAAACTTCATTATCATATGGAAACGAGTCATAAGAACAATTGCTATTCCCATACAATGAATTTGTTGTGTTCTGAGTGGGGAAGCATGAAAAAATTTATGATAACAAGAGCAGCCAATGTCGAATATCATCCAGTGCTAGCCCTCCATCAAATTAACCCATCTCCCTCTCCCAGTGAGAACGAAAATGCCCTCATTCGTAAGAATTGACCGCTGGCATGCGTAAGAACCTATGAGATCTATGAACTGAAGTCTGAGCGTAAGTAATTTATAGCAATGAATGAATTTAGGTGGAAATGTTAAGATTTTTTTTGTGAAAATTTTTTCTGCAACCAAAATGTTCTCCTGGTATTATTTTTAAGCCTAGATTGATTACCCCGTGAGGGAAACCCCGCCGCGGTCGTTTTTCTTTAATTACAATTGACCGGCTAACGGGAAAAATTCAAAAAAATTTGACTCTGTCAATTAAGGGCCTAAAAAATTATAGTAGTTTTTAGAACAACATATTTTCCAAGATTCCTAAGGAAAACAAATCATTTCGAACACATGAATTATTTTTTCCCATGTTAGATGAAATTGCCCGGTGACGCGACGTTGCCGGAAACGCGCTAAACGCGCCCGGGCAGTGTAGAGTGAATTGGGCAACGCTAAAGCCTAAATAACACGACGGGGAATCCCCGCGGAGGTGACCGGAGTCGCAGGGTCGCGTTTAGTGACCAGACTAGGATTAAATTCGATATTTACCAGGGGAATATAGAGTTGACAAAATTCCCCCCTGCGTGATAAAAATGTGGAATTATCTCGCTGACAAGTCATCTCGCAGAAATTTTTCTTCTACACGGAGAGAAATACTCAATAAAAATTACGTATTTTTTCCGTAATTCCCCAGCGAAATGTGGTTGTAGGAAATTTTACGGAACTGTCACGGAATTTATCCAGAGCGTTCCGTAATTTTTATCTGAATCTCCTGTGAAAAATTGCGATACCCTCACTTAAATTTCCTGAGTCGATTCCATAATCGATGAGCGAATTGTGAGTTCCGTAATTGTTACTGAATATTTCTCTCCGTGTAATTCTTAGAACTCTGGTACTGTAAATTGGGAAAACAACAATTCCAATTCCCACACAATCAATTCATTGTCTTGAAAGTGGGGAGGCGTCCGAAAAAATTGATGATAACAAGAGTAGCCAATGTCGAGTATCATCCAGTACGCGTCCCCCTTCAAGCAGCCCATCTCCCTCTCCCCCAGTGCGAACGAAAATGCCCTCACTCCTAAGAGCGAGCGTTGGCATGCGTAAGAGACGCCAGCAATCAGTCCCCATGAATCACCAACCAACCCATAGCCCTACCTCACGAACCTACCACTGACCAAAGAAAAATCATGAAAAAAAAAATGAATTGTGCGTGAATGCAATTTAGTCACACTTGGTCTGCGCCATGGTGCGGGTCGTGCTTTCGATCGACCGCGTGCAGTCTAACGATAAACTAGGCCAGACTGAAAATACCTCACGTGCCTACTTAACTCGATCCCAGGGATTTCTCAAAAAAAAAGGAGGGGAAAAAAATGAGGAGCAAGTTGAACGACGAGACAGAGATAAAATGCTGACACATTTTTCCGCGATTTGCCCGTCTTATTCATAATTTTGAAACAGCCGTTTGGCAGTCACCTGAAGGATCCCTATTCAGTCTCGCCTGGTAACACATTTATACGGACGCTGCTGGGAGTCAATGACACGTCCGTTGTTACCAAGTGGCCTGGTGTTCCCCGCCGTTAATGCTCGTTCCAGGTGTTCGGGCATTAGTCCCTGGATTTTTCCGTTTTTTCACAAGCCTCCGACGCCTTCATCCGGCAATTTTTGTTTATTCAGCATTTGAAAATTGCTCGCAATGAGTGCAACGTGAGACTTGTACACACTGAGGAAAAAAAAATTCCAATATCTGAAACATATTTTCTTGAGAGAAGTAAACTATTTTCAATGGCTTAAATCTCAGAATGTGTGCACTTCACGGAACTCGAATAAATTTTTATTCTTCACTATCGCTCCGCGTTACGTCATGAATATTTTACATATTGCAATATTGGAAGTGCACAACGAAAAAATCATGAAAATAATAAAGACCAGAAGATTGACGATTTTTCTACGCGATTTAAGTAAATTCATTTGCGACAAAATCATACTTGAGTACAAGAATATTTTAAAGCATGAGGCCTTTCTCGGGTCATGTGAGTTGAGATGCCCGAGAGAATTAAGCGATTGAAGAAAATTTACTTGTCTCAAGAAAATATGTTTCAGATATTAGAAAATTTTTTTCTCAGTGCAGGTAATAAAGATGGTGGACAATTGAGAATACAGAAGCCAGTTAACTCCTTCGACCTCGTGATCGAAGGGTTTCACGGTCACATGCGCTAATATTTAATCTAATAAAAAACGCGCGAGAGCGTACCAACGGTATCTATAACAATGTCCATGCATCACGCGATACATCCACCATCCGGATATTCCATCGGTGCATAACAGTTTCTTTCTTTTTGTGGATTTATATATTTTTTTTATCGCAGGTACTCCAGTGGTTTGTTTTTCGTCTGATGTTGGATATCGGATTTTGTTGCCTCTGTTGACTGCAGCGTCGAGGGTATATTTATTATCTAAAGGTCTTGATGAAGGAAACACTGAGTGCAGAGTTATGTTCTTGTTTTTATTGGGGGGGTCTTTCTGTTTCCCTTGAGGTTAATCAAGTTTTTGTTGCTTCTCTGATCATGGCTCTTGGCAATCTTTTGATTTGTTTTATTTTTTCGGCTCTGGTCTATTTTGCTGTGCTCTCTTGCACGTCGTCAATATTAAAGTTTCAATGTCCCTTGGGTCCAGACGAGTTTCAAAGGGATATTGTCTTGAGAAAGAAGTCTTATGATTAAAACATGGACACAACACAGGAAACGACGAGCAGAAAACAGGCTCCGCTCAGCGCATTTCTCCCTTTTCGAGGGGGATGTTATCTTTTTTTCGCCTGAGGGGTAGGAACAACCTCGTTCCGGGGTGATTCACGCAAAAAAATGTAAGTCATCGATAAATAGACGCAAAATATCTCCGATTAGGGGTGATGTAAACAGAAGAAAAAATGGAAATCACTCATACATTCGGGTTATTTCATCCGCTAGCGGAAACGGGCTCAAAACATTGGTTTTTGGCGTGGAGTTGAGGATCCACATACTTAGCCCAGTTTTACGGTGAAATCCATTTCAACATTTGTAGTGCGACATCTAAACTTTTATTTAAACCCCATCTGACCCTGGGTTACCGAACCTTTCGCAATGATTTAAGCGTTCACCCTTCGCTACATTTAATTCTTCATATCGAATCATCAGTGGGCTATTTGGAAATATGAAAAAAATCATTTTTCCTTTTGGAAAAGATTCATAAAATAAATGAAAAATTGAGATTTTCCACGTTTACGATTTTTTTCTGGATACGGGACATCAAACATGGCGTATGTTGGATAATGACAGACATTGCCATAGTAAAAAATTTTTTCTTCTCGTATACCCTTTCGGGTCTTTACGATTTGTTCCCTTTCCACCCCCCACCTCTCTGTACCGCATTTGCCGAAGGACAAGGGAAAACCTCATTTGAGGGAAAAACCTGCCCAGGTACAGTCGTCTCTTGCGAAACTCCCGCTCGACAATGAAACCGTGAGATTTAGAGTGTCACAAATCTTGGCCCCCCCAGCCAGGAATCGAACCCGGGTCTTCCGCATGCCAATCCCACACTCCAACCACACAGCCACCGCCGTCGGTACATCGCCATAGTATTTTTACCATTAATTTATTGAACAAATCAACGATAAAACCCAGTGGGACTTCGTGCCCATATTGTTTAGGGCTTAATATAGAACAATTTAGCTTCCTTTGCTGGCTAGCACATTGTCAGCAGTGTGAGGGATACGGGACAAAGTAGCGTCCATAAAGGCTGTGTATAAGACGCAATTTGAATAATGAATTAAACACGAACGAAACCATAAAAGTAGTTAGAATTGCTATTACAAATACCTTTTTAACATTTTTTATTACTATATGATATATTTAATTCGCGAGCACATTGTCATATTTTACCCAAAAGTACNCATAAAATAAATGAAAAATTGAGATTTTCCACGTTTACGATTTTTTTCTGGATACGGGACATCAAACATGGCGTATGTTGGATAATGACAGACATTGCCATAGTAAAAAATTTTTTCTTCTCGTATACCCTTTCGGGTCTTTACGATTTGTTCCCTTTCCACCCCCCACCTCTCTGTACCGCATTTGCCGAAGGACAAGGGAAAACCTCATTTGAGGGAAAAACCTGCCCAGGTACAGTCGTCTCTTGCGAAACTCCCGCTCGACAATGAAACCGTGAGATTTAGAGTGTCACAAATCTTGGCCCCCCCAGCCAGGAATCGAACCCGGGTCTTCCGCATGCCAATCCCACACTCCAACCACACAGCCACCGCCGTCGGTACATCGCCATAGTATTTTTACCATTAATTTATTGAACAAATCAACGATAAAACCCAGTGGGACTTCGTGCCCATATTGTTTAGGGCTTAATATAGAACAATTTAGCTTCCTTTGCTGGCTAGCACATTGTCAGCAGTGTGAGGGATACGGGACAAAGTAGCGTCCATAAAGGCTGTGTATAAGACGCAATTTGAATAATGNGCGAAACTCCCGCTCGACAATGAAACCGTGAGATTTAGAGTGTCACAAATCTTGGCCCCCCCAGCCANGAACAAATCAACGATAAAACCCAATGGGACTTCGTGCCCATATTGTTTAGGGCTTAATATAGAACAATTCAGCTTCCTTTGCTGGCTAGCACATTGTCAATAGTGTGAGGGGTATGGGACAAAGTAACGTCCATAAAGGTTGTGTATAAGGCACAA